TATACGATGTCTCCTATGATATATTCATTTTTGACACAATTATGATCCTCCCTTAGACCATAGCATAACGTTACCCTAGCAAAACGCGCATAGTCTAGTTTTAGTTGAAGACTTTAATGTGTATTGTTTATCGTTAATGAGACGCCAGAATATACATGTAGGTGAGACTGTAACCTAATACTATATCTAGTATTATATAAAACACGCGCAAGGTATCAGTGTCACCAAATAATAATTTAAACATACTTTCGACACAATTCACCAAAATTCACGACCGTATCACGGAGACTATCCAGGCCCCGCTGACATCGCGAGCAATGAGCTCATATTAGAAGCGGGGCCTTGAGACTTGAGAGATATGATAAAATTGAAATATAGAAATTTCTATAAAACATTTAGTAAAGTGAAACTCAGTACAACTTTATTTCATAGTACAATGGCTATTTCAATTGCAGGGCAACGACGTTCTTCAAGTATAACTATATTTTATCATATCACTCGAGGCCCCGCTTCTAACATGAGCCCAATGCTCGCGATGTCAGCGGGAACTTGTTTGCGATATACGGGCCTGGCTAGTCACCATGCGTATGCACAAGCATAACAAACAATGTACAATGATGAAGATAAAAGGACGATGACGTCAACCAACGAGTATAACTAAGATAAAAATGATAATGCAAATTGAAATTATTATATTGTTATATTATTAAGAGATAATTCTATGTTTTTATCAATCCTCCTTTTGTAGTAGTCGGAGTTTTTTCCATCTATGCATGAACTCACCCTTGGTCCAAGGGTATTGCAATGCTTTCCATTGTTCAATATAGCAGTGGAGCCCGATCTTGACCAGACGGCACGAATACTAGAATAGTATCCAATCATGTACACTTAATTGATCAAATGAATTATTCCATAATACTACTGTTTTCCCAGGGAAATATGAAGGAATAAAAATCGTATTGAATCGTATTCCATGAAAAAATCGTATTGTCCCCGGGAAGAAAATCGTATTGGAGCGTATTACATGAAAAAATAGTATTGTCCCCGGGAAAAAAATCGTATTGGAAAATATTAACCTATTTTTGGTTTTCCTGTTATTTTTAACCTTAGCTAATTGATAAAAGCATTTTCAAAATGTGACATTTTAGAGGAATGTATTATGGAATAAATAGGTTATTTCTGGTCGGGATTGAATATGGGTTTCATTCCTTGGAAAATATGATATTGACCTTGGGAAATATGATATTGACACTCGGTCGCTGCGCTCCCTCGGTCAATATCATATCACCCTTCGGTCAATATCATATTGTCCCTCGGAATAAAACCCATATTCAATCCCTCCCAGTAAATAACCTATATGTATTTTATGAAAAGGATTTATTTGTACTGATACCCTAGGGCCAAACATACATACAACAATAAAACATTACAATTGCAGTAATACAAGACGTACTTATATGCTCATGTGGATTTCATTGTTCAGATATCTGGCCTTCGTTAACTTACAACTTCTGTCTTTTGAACACTTTGATTGCCTTCGTTTGATTTAACGACCCCCAGGTCCTATTATCAAGTCCCTGGAGATTTCGTTTCAATAAGGCACATCCGGGTGCAATTTTGTGACATGGCAATTGCAAAATCAAGGCCATATAAATAGAGTGGATGACCTAATAATGAATTAAAATATTAGGCGAATTTTCATGAAATGCTCATTAACATTTTCAAAATATCATTCAGTTTAATAAGATGTACTTAGCTTACACCAATGAGCTTTTTTCAATCTTATGTTTTCAAGTGTTCTATACGTTTTCTTGCTATCTTAACCATTCATATCTAGGCGACTCACCACATCTGTTTTTCACCTAGGAGGATCGAGACCGACAAGATATGAGATGAAATGGTTTATCTAGAATGCTTTTAACCCGTGATTATGTAACACACTGTTTCTTTGTAGTTACATCAACAGTTGGCATATTGGGGTTGTTTATTTCCTAATAACTGAACATACTTTTACCCTTTGCATTCGTTTGACTTCACTTCTTAAAAGAGAGCTTCGTCTTCTGTAGTTTAACTAGACTCTGCCCGCAGGGTAACATACTTTAGACCTGTGATATAGAAATTATTTTCCTTCATCTTGCCCATCGGCATTACTATTTATATCACTTTTAGATTTATGCAAATGTATATGTCCTGCTTTAGGTTACTCAACCATTTTTATTTATTTACTTGTTTTATAATTTAGAAAAAATTTACATCGCATTAACAAATCAACCATTTACTTCATGTGTTTACTGACTATTATTAAATAACAAATGAAAAATTGTTGGTGAAATATATACCTTGTGATTCATCAGTGTGTGTTACGAACTCGACAACGTCTCGTTTTAATGAATTCGAACATTGTTGATTACCACACGTTCCTCGTTTTTTAAATAACCCACAATTAAAGTTAGGCCAAAATACAGAGCACTCAGATCAGAAAACAGAACTTTACGTTGCAAGAATTAGCATAAGAATGAGCCAGTTTTGGGAATAAGAGTATTCATTGAATATAAAGACAGCAATAAAACATCCAGCAGCAATAGTAATCAAGGCGAACACGACACCGCGGCCAATGCTTCAATTCGTCATTTGCTGGGAGACTTGAATTAGACATTTCTACCAAATACAATCGAACTATTGAGCATATTTCAATTGTGCTGGGATTTTCAATATTGCCGTTCAAAACATGTGTACTTTTACAATACCCTTGGTCAAGAGGAGGAATTACCCATCATACAAAGATGGACCTATTTCAGTCTATGTTCATCTTAAGAAAGAGGTTCATCAATGAAATCCGGGTTATCCTCCTCTTCTCTTGGCCCAAATGTATGGCATTTGGAAAAAATAGTTTGAATTCGAGGTATCTAATACCTATGACAAATAGTTATGGCTTTTTGGCATTTCCGCGTTATTGTAGTGCCGAAAACGTCCTAGCAGCGCCAACGTCCAATTTTGTCACAAACTCAACATTTAGCCATTAGAATAATAGTTAGCGACTATGAATATTTTGGTTCAAAATCCAATTCTTTTGGACTGCTAATATCTCAAACCAAACATAGCTTCTGTGACCTTTATGGGAATTTGATGGTATAATACTTCAAATAGGTAGATATATGTTCATGTTTTCCCGACTACGTATTCGGAATGGAAACACCTAAACATGATCTGAATATAAAGAGTGCATGTTAGGTTCATCACTTGCCTAGGGTAATATGTTTCAGCTAAATGATTTTAACATGGACCCACCAGTTTGCGAAATGTTAACTACAAGAAATAATTCACTAATCTCACCTCAACAAAAATGCGGAAATATGAGCAATTCACATAATTAAATACTGATAAAATTAGGAACGATTACAGAGCTTGTACAAGGGAAGAAATAGAATCAATTACGCTGTTCAAACAGTTTTCCAATCCTAAGAGATATCCATATAGACGCATTGGTTTCTCCCAGGACAAGGAGCGATAAATTCGATTATTCTTTAATCATACCCACGAGGGGAGTATTTGGCAGCAGAATATATGAGAGATTAATAGATGGTTAAAGCTGTTTAGTCTCCGCAAATATCGCTGTGTAACTTGCGCTAGTGAATACATTACAAAGCGCTTCGCGAATTCATCTGACGGCTGACGGTTTAATCTACTTTTTATGGCCAACTCGTTTAAATATGAATGGAATAGTGGCAGCTACTATTCACACTGCCTAAGTCAAAATGTAACACATAATACATGGCACATAATAATGCAACTCGTGCTTTAAAAACCTGTCGAACTAGATTTTCCAATTAATGTACAATCAAGAACTTTATTCAAATAAAGTAATATAATTAATTATATAATCACCAGGATTGTATGTGATTGATAACTGAGCCTAAAGTTAGAGTCAATCCCTATACAACTTTCTCCAGTAAATCTACTTATCGATTCGAATACCACAGCGTACATTTAGAAATAGAAAAAAAATCATTTATCAGTTTATGTATATATTTATAATTCGACACAATCAATTTCTTAAGAATTTAAGATGTGTGTATACCGTATAAAGTACTTTGCTATGGCCATCCATTAACATACACGCACATTATCCAAATATATATCCATTTATTTAAATACACATAGATTAATGGTCTTATGTTGCATGCATTTTCATCTTTAATTTCATCTTGAAAATGTCATTAAAGGGCATAATCATTTATTTACTTAAAAGTATTTGGACCAGAGGCATTTAAAGTCAAAGTTCAGCACAACTACTTAATTTTATAACTATCAATTCGCCTGTAAGATGACATTAAAAACAAACAGAGATTCTACACTGAACAGTTATCATTATAAAGCACAGATTGAAACAGACATTAAATATTTATGATGGGAAATGGCATAAACGGATGTGAATAGAATATTTCGAGTTAACCAAAGTAAGATATTATACTATTCGTGGGATTCTTGATACACATGCATTTCTTCTTTATTAATTTGATAAGTGATACGCGTAGCGAAGTGTAAATGTTCGGATGGTATTTTAGGATTGTTCATTTATATTTTGAGTATATATTAAGGTAATTTAACTGGATACACATATGCAGGCGTTGTTTACATTGGTGGCTTGGATTAGGGAATTAATTCACGTTGGTGTTGATGTTTGTCTTATTATGTTTTTGCTGGCGTTGCCACTTGTATCTATTTACATGGAAGATGTTTATAATATGTGATAGAAAAATTAAATTTCAAAATTCAACTTTTTACTATTTTGATACTATTACGTAATATATAATCTACATTTGAAATTTGCGAGTGTTTATGTATTCTTTCTGTAAAACAAACCATCTATATAACATAATTAATTTCATATAATAATATAATTTGAATTTGTTAATCAGTTAATAAGCCTTTTATTTTCATAAATAAAGTTGACAGCGTCTGCCTAAAGAAAATAACATGTTCTATGTATGTATTTTCAGGAATGACAAGAACGACAGGATGACATTCCGTGTAAGAACAGATATACCGCCATTTTGGCAGTTACTATGGCGACAGTTTATAGCATTTCTATTCTTACACCTCATAATCCTCGCTTCGGCGGCTAGAAACCGTGATGATCTTGTTAAAAACACTGACAAGGGAAAGGTCAGAGGAACACGTGTCCATTTACGTCATATGGATAAACGTGTAGACACTTTTCTCGGAATTCCCTATGCAAAACCTCCTCTAGGTGATCTTAGATTCCGTCATCCAGAGCCCATGGACAGATGGCAAGGTATCAGGGATGCTACCCAACAGCCAAATACATGTGTTCAACTAAAAGACGACACGTTTGGTAACTTCTCAGGTTCAACGATGTGGAACGCCAACACTCCAATAAGTGAAGACTGTTTGTACCTAAATGTCTATGTGCCAAAAAATATAGCAAGACACTCCGCAGTAGTTGTGTGGATATATGGAGGCGCTTTCTACAGCGGGTCAATCACATTGGACATTTATGATCCGACTATATTTGCCGCGTATAATGACGTCATAGTTGTTGCTATGAACTATAGGGTTGGAATACTGGGATATTTATCATTGGGTATTGCCGAAGCACCAGGAAATGCAGGAATGTTTGATCAACTTATGGCGTTGGAATGGGTACGAAAAAATATTCGATCCTTTGGTGGGAATCCAAATAACGTAACGTTGTTAGGTGAGAGCGCGGGGTCGGTTAGCGTAAGCATGCATCTGTTATCACCTCTTAGTCGAAACAAATTCAACAGAGCCATACTCCAGAGCGGGGTAGCAAATACCAAATGGGCAACGATCACAGTTGCTGAGGCAAAAACAAGAGCATTTAGAGTTGCCAAGCGACTACGTTGTGCGGAGCGTCAGGAGACCAAAAAGTTAGACGAACTCGGTGTGTTCACTTGTCTTCGAAATACTAAAAGTTTTGACCTGAGTAACAACGAATACTACGCAACTGGAGGAACAATGCAGTTTGCGTTCGTGCCAGTAATAGATGGCGTATTTCTCGTTGAAGACCCACGTCAGAGTCTTAAACGACATAACTTTAAAAAGTGCCCCATTTTAATTGGAAGTAACAAAAACGAAGGATCTTATTTCTTAATGTATGACCTAAGTGATCGTATTGATTTGGAAACTAAGGCAGATGAACTCGTTAATAGAGAATTTTTTATAGAGGCGATGCAACGGGTAAACAATTTTTACCCACAGTACCCACACCAATTGAACACATTTGGGCTGGATGCCATAATTCATCAATATACACCTTGGGAGAATCCTGATGATAAATACTTAAACTTCAGGGCAATAGATAACTGTGTGGGGGATTATCACTTTTTATGTCAAGTGAATGAATTTGCTCAGGCATACGCCAACTTTGGGGAGAATGTATATTCGTATTACTACAGCCATCGATCCAGTTTGCAACCCTGGCCAATCTGGATCGGAGTAATGCACGCCGATGAGATCAACTTTGTGTTTGGGGAACCCCTAAGGCAGGGCTACAACTACACACGATTAGAAGTGGAGTTCAGTAAAAAGGTGATGAATTACTGGACCAACTTTGCCAAATATGGGTATGTACCATTAAAGTGTACTAAATATGGATATGTACCATTAAAGTGTACAAAATATGGGTATGTACCATTAAAGTGTACAAAATATGGGTATTCCAAATAATAAGATTAGGTCAATCCTTAGAAGTAAAGCACATTTAGCTAATCACTATTCGAACCATTGCATCAAAAACGCTTTTGAGAATGAATGAAACGGGGACAATATTCCAATCGTGTATCAGAGTTCAGACTTTAACTCATAAAATATTGGGATGTTAGGGGTTTGTTCCACCATGACTGGTTCTACTTTTATGCTTATGTGTAGCCTATATGTGGTTGATTGGAATACTTACTTGATGGTTTTAATCTCAAAGAGCGTTTAATACCATATGATATATCAGTTGTGTAAGGTCTAATTTCGATATAAAATGATCCATATACCAAGAACAATCTTGTGCACGACCCAAACTTGTTTTTTTTAATTTTAGGATTGATCGTACTGATTGAAACGAATGAACAGGTTTTTGATACTCTATATCCAAATTCTTCCTGTACTTTAGTCTTATTCTGTATAAAAAACGTTCTGTTTGCTTTGTATCTGTGTATGGGCCAAAACGAGACACTAGATGGCAGCATCGTCAAGAGTGACCAGTAAAGGAAGTAATGTACGATCAGCTAGGATAAACCCTGTATCCGAAACCCCCAGTACATAACCTTTCTATATCGATTCCTCTTTCCGCTTGTTTGCAGAAATCACAGACACGGGAACAAGAGTTTATCCCCACACTCACTATGTATTACTTAGAAAAATACATTATAAAGTGACTGAGGGGGGGGGGGTTGAATCTTCTTCCTGGGCCTGTGTATTGTATTTTTTTTTTTTTGTTTACCACCAATGAAGGTGAGCAATACCTCTTGGGTATGTCCCGTATATATACGGTCGTAATTTACGTAATTAACATGGAAGATAGACCCAGAAACCCCTCCTTGAAGGAGCCCTGTGTTCTTTTATGTGCACTTATACATAGACATACAAGTACACACCACAGCCTTTTGTACGAGTTGCGGACCACTCAGTCAAACACCCTGAAGTACTTCACGCAAACAAGCAAATTTAGTCTTGCCTGAACCGGGGATCGAATCCGGGACCTATTGCGTAAGAGGTACCTGCGCTACCGCTGAGCTACACGGGTGGAGATCCTCCTGCATCCAAAACCTCCCATTACATATATATACTAGTATATTAAATGCTCTATTCGCCTGTTTGCAGAGATCCCAACCAGACACCTGATGGATACAATCTCCAAGAGTGGCCAGTACACACTAAGGAAGGCAAAGAGATCATAGAATTGAATGCTAAGTTCGTACACGAGACTGACAAAACACTGGCGTTGGGGAGAGGACCGCGGCTTAAGGAATGTGCGTTCTGGAGAGAATATCTACCTCAGCTAGTTGCCGCTACAGGTAATGTAGTAAACCACAATGGAATATGAGGTCTCTACAATACGCCTATCCTAGTTTAAGCTTTGGTGACCAAGCGGTAGAGCGTGCGACTAAGATTGAGGCCTCTTTATTGTTATTGCTGAAAACTGCATTTTCTCACTCAAATTGCATCTTTATCACGTGTCTACTTTAAAACTCAACCAGTTGTCCATGTAGTTCAGTGGGGATTTGAGCTCCCAAAAGGGAGGGGGTGGGCATTTTTAATAGCGTAAGATAATAGGGGAACGTATAATATTAATAGTTAGTTACAAGAGTAAAAAGTAAGAAATATGACTTATAAAGAGTACTGGCGGTATACAACTTCGTCGTTCCTTGCACTTAATACCAACCTACTTACCCAACCAATACCCAACTAACTATGTTTAAAGGAAAGCCAAATACGGTTAGCACATAGACCAACGGGAAAAATACCACATAGTTTTACAAATACAAAAGTTTTAAATGAGAAACCTTAAACCGTTCAAACGGTCACGAGAAAACGAATCCAAACACCCCAAATAATTATATAACGTTTAAAGACACACTTGTTCACGCCCCTCCCCACCCTAAAGCTCAGAAACAAAATAATCACAATTAGGCCAAGTCATTCAGATAAAATAGGGAGTCTGTTGTCGTTTTTGTCATTGTGGAGCACATGTAATACTTGGAATGGTGTTGAACTTAAGCCATTCTTCGCTTCAAAATTTGATGCAGATTGGAATATAATCTTGGAATATACGTTCATATTCAGAGTACTGGTAAGTTCAACTATTTCATCAGTACCCTAAGTTTCGCCTTCTTCCAGTTTGCGACGTTCCTCCATAATGTGGACCACAATGCTTTTTACCCTTGCGTATGATGTGATTTCTGCTTCACCGTTGTTGTCCGGATCATTCACTCCCATATCTGCTATGTTTACTGTAGTTTGCTTAATGGTGTCTCGTAGAAATCATTTAGAAATGGTCACTTGAAAGGCGTAAACCTCCAGCATCATAGAGTGTGTTATACTCTTTTAAGACGCCCCATCAATTTCTCTCGACACACCCCTCAGTGGTGGGTTTTAAAAACGAAATAACCCAATTCCTCCTAAATATATGAAATAATTGTCATCATTGTGTAAAAGTAAACGTGTTCCAGTTTGAACCTGCCCCCATCAGCGTTTGACTAAATATTCGCAATGTTTTTCTTGCGAGATTTACGAGCTACAAACTTGCCATCTATAGTTAAACCACATAGTTTAAACCCCCTGGTTAAACCCTATCTACACCTTCAGTTACCACATAACCAACAGTACTGAATCAGGTCGCCATCTTTACTTAGATCGTAGTGTTATAACATCGATCCGTGTGCTTGGATAAATTGGATAGAAGTGTTCTATAGATAGACAGCATTGGTTTCATTTAGTATATAGAGTCAATGGAAATATAGAGCAGTGAGAATATGAGCATGGGACCCGCACGTCACCCGTTTTTTCCGACCTGACCTTGCTGTAACACTGAGTAGCCTTGCGACGCATGACGATTTCCTACTATGACGTCATCAGCTTGATCAGCTTTGGACTCTAACAGGTAATACACTAATGCTTGATTATTTATTGCACGATTATCTAACAGTGTGTGTTTAATTGTTACTGATCTACTTTATTATATTAATACACTTTAATTTATTCAAGATAACCAATTACTAGTACCCTTTAAAATGCCGCTTCACTAATTTTCTTAATTTTCTTAACACTCCGTTGTGTGTGCCAACGTTGATCATGAATACCTTAAGATGCAGTGTTCGAAGCAATGTTTTTAACCAATTATGATTTTTGCTGCTTTTAAGGATTGTATTGCTTTGAAATGCAAAGAGTGATTACTTCAACTGTTCATTTTGTATAGTTATACAATATATAATTTGCTCTCGAGCATCCATTTAGAGGATTTCCCAGAGTATATTTGCTTATTACCAATTTACCCCGTTAAGTGTATGGCTTTTTTATCGGAAAACCTGCTTTGAACTCGCTTTCAGGGTAGTAATTATAAGACGTTTTTGTGAATGAAAGTTAGATCAAATATATTCATTTCAATTTACATCACTTCAGAAAAGTTAAACAATAAAATCAGAAACCATTGATATAATACAATAACCTGTCAAGCCATTCCTCATTATACCGTAATACAACGTACCATTCTTCAACCAGCCATTCTCTATAAGAAAAATGTAATGGATAATGGATATCAAAAACTAGAGAAACAATGAATTCTAAATGTTCAGCATTTAATGTTGATACATTCGTTAATTTGAATGGCTTAATGGGGTTACTATAATGAACTATCACCAAATTATGCATATACCCAGCTAATCAACCCTTGCCTTATAACATTTTTACCCTTTCAGCGAACATTACTGAAGAAGAAAAGAGCTGGAAGTTGGAATTTTCGGAATGGAGAACACAGTACATCGTTGATTGGAAACAACAGTACGATAACTTCATAAGAGCCCAGCAGTCACAATGTGAGAGCCCTCCACCGTAGATATGAGAGAAGTCTGATTGAAACGCGTGAAAGGCCTGGTGCGACGACCTGATATAGTATTATCATGTGGCCGGTCTCTGAGTATAATCTGAGAGAGCTGTCACGTGGTGATGGCCATACTGAAGACTCTTATTGTTTACCCACAAAATTAAGACATATATTTTTTATTATGTATTCTATGAGTGAAAATTATCAATGTAACGAAATGGACGTAATTCGATATACACCAGTTATAAAAAATATCTAAAATAAAGATACGTTATGAGCATGCCGTGTAAATTGCCATCAAAATATGGAACATGGAGTAGATACAGTACTTGGAAGTTTTGAACGGAATTGGCGAATCACCAAATTAATGTTAAAGAACACAGGAATTATTCCGCTACTTAAAATTCTCGCCGTCGTAGATGTATTTTCCATAGTTACGACTACGATTCGATATTTCCTATGATGAACAAAGGTGCAAGTGCTGCATTATTTTTTATTATGCACCTCATTAAAACACTCAAATCTGATTGGTTCTTAGTTGCTTGTAATTTGGCAATACTCTGCTCTTTTCTGAAAACTGCCGGATATTTTTTTAATATCTGACCCAAAAAGGGTCGGATATTTTTTTCAATGTTTTTGCAACATTCCCACTTCAGAGTTTTATTTCTTAATAACTGGAGTACTACTTAAAGCTTACATCTGAAACTGGCGGAAAATAGAAGAAAAAATGCACTTAATCAATCACAATTACCCTTATCATTCAAAAGTTACATATAATTCTGCAAGAACGTCTCGAATAAATAAAAATCAAATTCCTGGGGCAAATATTTTCGTCCAGTGTAGCGAATAAACTGGCCGGAAGTCGCCTGAGTTTTGAAAGAAAAAATAAATAAATGTCAAAATAATGTCAACTAAACGACAGTTTAAGCCTGTACTCCAGTAAGTACTCCACTTAACTTTGATTGGGAGGTGCATAATAAAACAAATACTGGATGATCAGGAGCTGGATATGGCCAGAATACCTATTGTCGAAAAAATATTGGGCTCGGCTGCCGCCTCGCCCAATATTTTTTCTCGAGTAGGTATTCTGCCATATCCAGCTCGTGATCATCCAGTATTTGTTAAATATGATGACTGCATCTTTGGTGCGTATATTCTTAGAATTTCTTGTTACACGTTCGTCTTAATATATCCCTGTCAACTTGGTTAAGTCGAAAGATATTACAAAACATACGAGTAGTTAAAAAAACGATATACATTGAATTAGGTTAAATGTAAGGTGTTTGACAAAGTATCTGTTGGACTTTAGAGGAGAATGGTGAATATTGGTGCAAATATGCGTACATAGGGCGTTCAAGAAGCATTGATAAAAATCCCATAGCCTTTCTGTTATTCTGTATATCTAACTCATTTTCGGTTGAATAGCATTCAGTAAACTGAGATATATACACCCCATGGGTGTCTTACTCATGTAATGTATAATAAATAGAAATGTTAAATGAAATAAATTGAGTTGGATTGTTGAATTGATATTTTTGGAAGTTTAGGATGTTTTCATTGAAATGATCCAATTTCCCCGTGTGTTTGCAACACTTGCATCAGCACACGCGCCGCAAAACATTGAAATACATTGACAGATATAATTATTATTTAAAATTTGTAAATATGTTAAATTGTACATTGTATGAATTATTTTTCGTGTTTTAATGTTATGTTTAGCAACCAATTAAAATATATATAAATTGTACAATAAATGTTTTAAATAATACTTATGCAGTTTAACTGTGAGTTTAGACGTAAATAAGTAAATCATCGGGGAGATTAAGCTTGCACATAAAATCGACACGAAAACTTATAACATGTTGAGCGTGCATATACAAAAATTACTGCTGTACGGCCTAAATACCCATTCGACTTGACGGCGTCAACTTAACCTTTCTATCGACATGTTTGAACTAAATGTACAGTATTTGGGCAGTTGTGATCCGTCACCAGTTAACAGTAGTTTTCAACATGAAACATTGTTTTTTTGCTTTTCAGTTAGCATTTTAATTTTTTAATCACTATCATATAGAGTGTTTGAAGTTTCAAAGTTCCATTTCAGATGTATTAAGCATGGCTCATTCGATTTACTGGTTGTTTTGTAACATATATTACCCTCAGATTGGACTGACTTTGGATATTACTTAGGATTCACTACTGTATGTAATTAATATTTACATAATAAAAATAATCTAAAATTGCAAGTGTTGTTTTTTTTCATTATATGCATTGCACTTTATTATGTAAAATCAGACAGTCGGGTAGTTTACTGCATCATTGTACAATTAAAATGAGCTGAACCTGATAAAAAGATACAAGCTTTTAAAAACACTATGTGCATATACATGATATATATCAAGATAACATACCCACCTACATCTACATATTATAGTTTGTACTGAACAACAATGTATGGGTAGAACAGTTGTATAAAAAATGCAATACCCATCACTTGACTGTATCCATGGATCCAGTTGGAATCACAATATTATTTCATATAGCTGTTTTGCTAAAATAAACAATCAATGGAGCAGGACTCTAAATATAGAAATATATCATTGTTCCGAGACAACGTTTTAGTAAATCTTCTTGGTCCATTAATTGTTTCAGCAAAAAATCTTAAATGTGTTTCAAAGTTTAAGCATATTTGGTTAGATGAAAAGTGGTGTACATATGTTACAGATTAAAATTCATACTGTTTTGCTCTTTGTTGATTTATTCATCAGACGTTCAATGCTATAGTATTTTTTAAATCTTGAGTCACAATACTATTTTCATGTAAAATTTTATTACTCTCAAAATGTCAAAAATTGAAAACCAGTATTTTCCAATCATAAATCAGTGGACATGCAATAAAAGTGGCTATTAGCATCATATTACAATTTCTGAAAAATATCCAGTCAAACAGTTCCCAGTTCCCATTCATAAAGACAGTGTGGGTGTGTGAGATTTACTGACTTAACCCTCGTGACTATCATCATGAATCTTATAATGATACTATTACCTGTTATCATGAACATGTTATTATCATGAATATCATGGCACTGGTATGATGCATCTTATATATTTAATGACAGTATTGCCATTAATGTGTTATCCAGAAACTTTTAAACGCAGCAATAAGATGTATTCTGTCATAACAAGCAAATATCTATATGCTTGTTCATAACGAGCAATTATCTATATGCTCATTCATAACAAGCAATTATCTATATGCTCGTTCATAACAAGCAATTATCTATATGCTCATTCATAACCTTATTGTTAGTTCCAAGTTCAAATGGTTTCTGGCATATAGGACATTCTAGTTGTTTCTTGGCTTTTTCGTCAGATTGATTTGCCTGTTTGGCAAATGCTGCCATAATGCTGTTCTGTACCTTTGGCTTGGGTTGACTAGTCTGTTTGGCAAATGCTGCCAAAATGCTGTTCTGTACCTTTGGCCTTTTAGTAGGGTTTCCCAATTGCGAGTGAGTCGGTTGCTGACGTTTTTTATTGGATGTCACTAATGAAGGGGAATCGGTAATGCGCTTCACTTGAGAACTGTCGAATGTGTTACAAGTATCATTCTCCTTGCCTGGAGATTCAGATTGAGATTGTTCTCCTTTATTTGTATAGTTCAGAACCTCCGCATTTGAAGAGTTGCTTTGAGTCTCTCCCTCTGAAGAGCTCTCTGAAGAGATTTTGTTAAAGCTTGTTGATTTTTTCCCTGTTGATTTGAAGAAGTTCTTCAGTGTCAATGGCGGTGTGATCGCATTTTTAAGGCACCTTGGTTTAACATCAGCTACAGGTTCCACTACAGTCTGCCTGAAGGCTGCAGGAGATTGATCTGAGGTAGATGTCTCAGGGATAGGTATTTGGACAACCATCCCATTAGCCAGTACCTGGAATATTAACAAAGATGTATTGCACCTATTCAATGACTTAAACATGATTCTAATATAATATTAGCAAAATGTAATTCTTATGGCATTTAATCATTTAAGAAACCCCATTATGTTCATTGAAATTTCCTACTGCCTTTACCTGTCTCACCAGCACACTAATTAACTGTTTATTCTTAAAGAAAGTCCTAGAATTAGGAAAAGACCTATAGACTTACAGTTTGCCTATATTGCTGTTTTTGCATTTGTTCCAGTATCTTTTGTTCCTCAATCGCCTTCTCCACTAGCGGTATGAGTAGCTCTGGGTAGCGAATACCAATAATCTTTTTTCCATCGTTCAGCTGTACCCGTACAACACGTAGATTACACTCTGCTTTACTTTAAACATAATTATAGTCTAACTTAGTATAACTATGGATTAGAATAAAACAAATAACAAACTTTCAACATTTTACTACAAAGATATAGACAACATAACTAAACTACTATGTTTGAGAATTAACAATTATGAACATATGAAACAATATAACTAAACTTAAAATAACAACTAGTTTGTGTGAGAATGAAATAGTATTTTTTAACTTAACTCAAAAGAGCAACATTTGAGTAAAAGCAGAATATTGAACAGTATATTAAAACTAGATTCTTAGACGTATACACCAACTACACTTAGGCAACATCTCAGAAAATATGACCAGTGAATATCGTTTGATCTTTCATGGCATGTGACCCAGTATTGACCAATTGTACAACTACAAGCTTGACCGTGATATTAAGATATATATTATCAACGAGGTCTTTTTAGTGTTGTATGTCTACACAATGACATGTATATTACATTTGAAAATAAAAACTCTAAACCTTAAAAAGATATATGGGCACTTACCTGAGTTGGAGCTTATCCTGATGCCTGGCCATAGTAGTCTCAAGTAACGACATCATGGTAACTGTTCCCCCTACTAGAAGATGTAATCTGTAACACCTACTTCCAACTGGAATACAACATAAATTTGATTAATATTAGCACATATACACATAGTATATAAAATAATACATAATGCAATGGCTAATGATGGCTAAAATCAAAATTTCATGTTGCCTTGCAATATTTGCATTACATTTTATACAAAACATTCATAAAAAATTATACTGTAATGTAAACACTTTCACATTACTTATTTTTGTTGCATTAGATAACAAACATTATACATGTACATTTCATATTTTGATGAGTTAAGTTAATACAATTGAAAATGGAACCGAGAGAGTGTTTATATTGAGAAATTAGAATGCAACTATTAGATGGTTAAGAGTATTTTATTTTCAGCGAGATTTAACACAAAGTTCATGAGATCACTATTTGGAATTCTGGATGTTTGTTTCCTTATAGTCAGCTGCTACATTTAAATGTTTCACATGTATCTTTACCATTTTGGCACTTTTGCTTACACATTCACAAATTCTGAAAAATCCTTGTTGTATGTACTTACAGATAACTTAACTAACAGAGTGAATGACACAGGTAATGTAAGTCTACCTAGGTACAATTTTACCTGTGCAAGCGGGACCTGTCTTACACCCATGGCCGTGTATACAATGGCTCTCAGTTTGTTGGTACAACTCATTCCAATGGCTTTCTGCAACACACAATAGATGAAGCTTAATACAAAATGAAAGTGAGGCTGCCAATCCACAATGAGGCAAACACCTGGGATCATTAAATTATTATTCAATGGAGTCGGGTGAGTTTTCAGCTGAATACAAATTGAATGAGAGGCAGCAAAATCACAATGTGGCTAAAAACTGGGATCATTAAAGTATTACACAAAAGTTTAATAGATGTAGCTGGAGTGAGCTATTACTTAAATGTAATTTGACAATGGAGCTGTAAATATTCACAATGAAGAAAAATTGGGATAGCTCACTGATTACAAATGTATTATGTGCACAAATACCAGGCATCAGCAAAATCGACAAAAATTGTACTCATGCGGAAAACAACAATGGCACTGTTTAAGTTCACATAATAGCTACCCTAGTGAAATGAATCCTACATACTGATGCTTTACTAAATCAGGTCTAAATTCATTAATCCAGGCCAGCCTTAAAAAGAGTTTCTATGATTGTACGAGTCATATCTATTCACAAACAGTGGTTTCCTCTCTGAGTGTAGCAAAATATGATTTTGAATATATGTGGTAACCCTTCTTAAGCCAAGTGGTATACCAGTGATAAAAATGCTCCCAAGATGAAAGCAGATAGACATTTAGTGTATACTTAACTCTTCTGTTGATATGAGGTATCTTGACTTGTAAGAATCATTTGTACTCAAGGTTGCCATTTTTCCCCAGACAAGGATGTATATGAGGGGTGATCAATAACTTGCGGAGTAGTATAGCATTTATTATTTATTGACCACCCCTCATATATCTAGTGACATCAATAAATTTTATCCATTTTATGAACAAAGCTAGAATTATGGAAGGCAAGCATCTCAAACTGTTGCTTGAATTTGACAATGTTTACTCTCGATGAATACACAGCTATGAATTAAGTGAATCCAGGTGATATTATTTATTGTTCACCTCATATTATGTGGTATTTATGTCATAAAATCTGGTATTCACCACATATTGTCTGGTGTCTACCTGTGACTGGTGACCTCCTAGTGCAAGGCTGCTAAATAATGCAGCTATGACTCAATGTAAATATTTGCATTGTATACCCTTCCATGTTGGAGATGTGACAATGAATAAATAAGTCATTTGTTATTGGAAAAATATGCAAACAAAACCTACATTATAAGAAGCTGGTGATTCTGTATAGCACATCACTGAGGTCAGTGATGTATCATATACATGTATACTACATATTGTATCATATACATATATCCATTAGGCAAATTAATGTCACATTGCTAGAGATTCTTTATTAGAAGTAGCCATATAACTTTAACATATGTTAAACAAAGCCCATAAGATATACTACTTTAATGATCAACAATCCAGATGAATAAGAATGTTAATTACATATAGAATTTAAATGGGGGGTTTTACTTAGATGTGTGTGTTAAATCAAATTGACTTTTTAATCAATGTCTGTTGTGTCTGACTAATTTGGGGTTGTGTGTAATTTCTGACTAATTTGGGGTTGTGTGTAATTTCTGTGAATGATAAGGTAGTTATATTACTGATTTTAACTGATATGTTAAAATAACTAAATAAAATTGATTGAGAAATTATAAATAACTTATAATTTGTAAGGCTAAATAACTCATATTAGTGAGACCAGTCACTGAAAATGTGAAAAGGTGTTGACAACTTGTCAAATATTGCTTAGAATTGTCTTTGTAATATTGCAATATATTGTTTAATATAATTAACAATCATACATATTGCACTTTCTACTATGTCACTATTTATTATCTTTTATCTGTATATATTTGCAAAACACTAATATTATATGTATATATCTGATTTAATATATATATACATGCTATGTGTAGTTAGTGATGGCCACCATTGTACATAGCAAAACTATTTAAATTTTATATGACATTATATCATATATGTATGTCATGTTTTATTCCCATAATGTATATATAATTTGAAAATGATATGGCACACTGTTGTTATATGTCACAATGTATCTAAATGTCACAATGTGATGATATGTCACAATGTAACCAAATGTCACAATGTAACTATATACCACAATGTATGTATTATCATTTATGTATATATAATGCATTCATATGCCAAATAACCATACATTTGTAAGATAAGGAATATGTATGTATATATTTAGCTACTTAAATATTGTAAGAACTTAATATGAAGATCATAAATGCATGAACTTAAATAAATATGGTATATGTGAGTTAATAGGCTTCACACATATAGCTATTATGCATGCATAGAAGACATATGCAAGTAATACAATTCACTCATATAAAATGTAAAATTGTACATGTGGTTATATTATGAATGCATATAGATCATGTCACTTAAGACTACAGGCATTAATGTATCAATTATTTTTCAGGTTCACTTTATCAAAAAATCAATTAAAAAGGAGTGCTTGTCACCTCATTAAGCATTTTAAAATATTTGAAAATTTGAAGGTTTCTTTCCCGAATCTTTCTTATTGCTCTGGTTCAAACTTGAATAATATTCTTCAATTCAAATTCGACAGATTAATGATTAAATAAATTTGAAAAATCATTTTTTGGATAATTCAAGCATAGTAAAAATATAACTAAATTAATATAATATTATATACTTAAATATTTAAATAGAAATATGCTATTGAACAATTTTATACATTTAAAATGTGCATTTATACTGCTTATAAGAATTATATAGTAGAAGTGCTGTGAACAGTAGTTGAATGAAATAGAATCTAATTTCAGAATTTAAAATATATAGTGCAGTGTGTGACCCTTATTGAAGGTACCTGTAATTCAAAAATCACAATTAATATTTAAAAAAATTACTGTCACATAATCAATTAATGTTTTAAATTTGTGTGTACTAATGATTTAATGGATGATATTAATTATAATTAAAACAGACAAGGCATTAACGTGTAACATTATTCTGAACACCAACCAACGTCCCAAAAAAAGTTTGAGACCAAAAACAATGTGTCAATTGGTAAATTATAATGTGGTAAATTATAATGTAGCATGACAATGTACTATTATATGAATTGTGTATTGTGTATTGACAGAGATATGACCAGAGAATTTATGGTTTATCCACTTTTGGTGTGGGGCATCATTATTTTCACACAATAATACAATAAATAAATTGGGAATTTGTGTTTTCTTCCATTTTTGGTGCAGGAATTTTATGAAGTGTTAAGTGGGAAAATAAATCATAAACACAAATATTGTAGTGATAAACATGCACATGATGGTGAATTGTAAAACTAAAATAATAGTTGTTCGTTGGATAATTATTTTTGCATATAAAAAAATTATTCTACTTCACAATCTCTAAAAATTGCTTTCAATGTACTCACATTTGGCCAACAATTCACTAGTTAATTTATGAATGGAATAAATTACTAATATGATAATGAACAAAAATAAAACTACTATAGGTATTGTATGACTCTATAGAAACAGTGTGACATCACATGGCATCACAGAACAATGTTTACATTATTTCATTACATTTGAACATTTAGGTATTGATGTGGAATAAATGTTTTATGTACTATTTATTATAGTGTAACTGCATTTCTTATGAACATTAATAACATGTAGGATACAGTATAAGTCTGTATGAAATATACACCTTTAAACTCGATCAAATAATAAGTTTTGTTATTTATTCATATTTAAAATAGAACCTTTAAGCTACATCACATTTTGTAGTTTATATTAACAGTTTTGTTTATATTCACAACTAAACTTTAAACTCAATCAAATAAAGCGTCTTGTTGGTTTATATTCAACAATGAAATTTAAACTCATCAAAAATGAGTTTTGTAAGTACATATTTAAATTTAATACAACTTCTAAACCTTGGGAAGAATTTATATTATTTCAAGTTAAACAGAGGAACAATTTGTTAGCTGCTATCTTTAAGGTGCCTGCACAAGCTCCAATTGTAAAGACCAATGCCGGATGATTATCAGAAAAATGAAAGGTGTAATAAAAATTTCATCATTTCTCGTTGATGACCAAGGTGACATTAGTGAAGTGATAAGTACTAGAACAGCCTAAAGTAACCCTACTATCACACCAAGCTAGTTCTCACTATGTTCTCGAAAACGGGCTTCAACTGTGTACGAACGGACTGGACGTACTTAGAACCGTTTGGGGTCTATTTACAAACTTCATCGAACGTAATCGAACGGGTAGGTCCTCTAGAACTTAGAACATGCTCAAAATGTTCTTGTGGTCGTCACGTTCTACAATAAGAACGAGTGACAACGTACTTACGACGAGCTGGACGTACTACGAACGGAACCGTCGTACTTCAATCCTACTAGGGACGTTTTTACAACGAGTTGAACTGTCTGAGGACGTATTGAGAACGAGGTAGAACTAACTGCAAACGGGTTTAAACTGACTAAGAACGTAATAAAGACTGCTTATAAACGAGTTAGCAAAAATATAGCTATCACACCAAACAAGTTGCCACTGCGTTCTTCAAAACTGGTTTTAAACTGTGTGCGAACGGAATGAACGTAGCTGCAACTTTCTAAGGTCTATTTACGAACTTCATGAACGTTCTCAGACGGGAAGGTGATTTTAGAATTTTGAATCGATTCAAAATTCGATGGCGACCATACCGTTCTGTAATCAGGTCATGATGACCTCCTAGACTAAGGGACGCGTTATACGACGTTGCACACCGATCGTGATACGACCTGAACGACACTGCGAATGAGATGGACGTATTGAAGACTGTTTATGAACGAAGTAGCTAATTATTTTAGAGATATTTCCCGACCACAGCCAGATTGAGCCCGTTTTACGACGTTTTCGTAGGACTGGCAAGAACGGATAAGAACTAGTTTGGTGTGATAGGGGGGTTACACTGTCAAGAAAATTATGTTGTCAATCTGACAAACTGAGGATCATACGGAACCTTATTTTAGGCACAAGAAAAATAAATAATATCGAACCTGCTTTTTCTTGGGATATCTTTGTGTACTTCTGTGTCAAATCTGCTTCATTTTCCTCAAAGCTGGATACCCCAGTGTTTGGTCTGTAAAATTACAAGGGAAAAATTCAAACTCAATGTAGGGGCTACATTAAAATGTTTGTTAATAGGTAGAACAAAAAAAGGCATTAACATGCAAAATGTCACCACCTGCCATTTGCTACAGAGCATCAAACATCAACCGACAGATGCTGTCACAAAAAAGTTTGAGACCATAACAATATAAAAGCAAAATAATATGTTTTTGTTAACTTATCTATCTGGAAATTACACACAACAACTGGCAATTTTACTAATTCAAAAAAAAGTCAATTAAAATTTTCACAATTCAGTATATGGGATGAGATGAGGGTGGAAACTGCAAACATATGTAATTGATCCCTAAACATCTGTACATGATCCCATACCTGGCTATAGTGAACGAATGGTGCGAGTTTTCCTTGCGTGTTGCTAACAAGTACCATCTTTTACCCTCTCTAGCACGTCGAGATTCATAAAACCCATCTCCCGCTGCACCGTGATTGGCTAGTCTGGTTAGTGCAGAGTCCCAAGACATTCCACGATCAACATTTAAGACAACATGCCTGCAAGTTACATCAAAATATCAGTTACATGTACTTATCCAAAATACAAAAAAAGGACATAAAGTTTTTGTTAAGTGTTATGAGGGGTGATCAATAAGTAATGGACGCTTTTTTTTACACAGATGCTTTTTATAGACCAATACCTTCGATTTTCTTACCAGTGATACATCTTTCAATTATCTATTAACTCTAAAGATTTGAAAACAAAACATGTAATATAAATGGATATACAGGGTGATCATTAAGTTCTGGGAATTTATCTGTCATTTCATTATTTTTCAACCAATTTACTAGTAATTTTCAAGGTAAATGGGGAATGTAATTTTTGGTTGGACAAAACAGTCTCATTGTCATCTGATGTCACAATGGATAATTATTGTTACTATAGCAACATGATAAATGTCGTAGAGGGTCAAGTAAAATAAAAATGAATTCAAATTTTGTTTGATCCAAAAGTATGGTTAATAAATATCTATTTGGTGGACATATTTCTCTGATTTTTTATATTTTCAACTACTTCTAACTTAAGTTTCTAAAGTAACATCTTTTTTGTTATATAAGAGTGTACTTTGCTTATTTTTTTTATCATTCATTAGCATCTCAAAGTAACAATCATGCCTAAAAATAGCGGGGAGTTATCTTCCATTATGACTATGCTCCTTCCCATTACTCAAGCTGCCCATACTACTCTTGAAGAATTAGGGTTCACACAAGTTATTACTGCCCCATATTCACCAGATAAAGCACCATTAGGCTTCACTACATTTTGGGTGCTAAAGCATTATATGAGAGGCCATAAGTTTGATTCCAATAAGGGACTGATTTCAACGGCTTGAGCAAATCTTCAAAGGATACCAAAGGGAGGACTGGAACACATCTTTATGGACAACGCAACAGCAACGCATGTGCGTCCAGGCTAATGGAAACAATCATAAATGAAATGAAGATCCCCTCAGCAATGAAGAATACTTCTGAATAAATGACTTCAAGAGTACTGTTCTGCCTCTAGTACAGGTATTTTGAAGCAACTATCTAGGCAAGATGAATATGTTTGGCAGGAAATTTTCAAATTAACATCAGTCAAAATTTGCTGACCCGCGAACCACTTTTTCTTTTTTTGTAATTGCAATAAAATAAATTGTAGATGTGATATGTATATGAACATTGCTTGTCAATTCAGAATTATACAATGTACACCTGCTGAAAATTTCAACTCAAATGGTTGAGAAATCTTGAAATGGCAGACCAATTCCCAGAACTTAATGATCACCCTGTATCTTCATTTCCGTGAAGGAGGTACAGGTACCCCGGGACCGACATGACGTCAAACATTCTGAAGCTATTTTAGCTTGTTTAACATACAAAGCAGTTGAATGCAGGTTGAACAAAACAAACCATTATGGTCATGAATTACCCCATTTTGTTATGCCATAGATTATTTTGAATGTTTTATCATCACTATGTGGTATTCATGCCACATTCATTCTACAGGGAGCTCTACATAGGTTCCACCAAGTGCTAAATGTACACAATTCCTCATCCTCTTAACTCAAGATTGTGAGACAAGGCTGAATCCATTCTCTGACATGGTAGCAAGATGCAGTTGCACGGGTTGTTTTATTTCATCAATGTCAATAAACCTGCGTTCCTTCTCTATAGAAATAATGTGGGCAGACCTGGACAATATGGTGCATTGGCCAAGGGCTCAATTAAGAGGTCCAGGGATATTGTTTTCTGAACATTTTGAGATCTATGGGCAGGTGCATTGTCCATACGGAGTAGGGTGTCTCCTCTCACCAACCCCTTCTTCCACAATGCTTTCTCAAATTGACCTACGAACCCCGACCATACAACACTGACAATACTTTCTGTTTGTGTGTTACCAGTCAGCAAAATATTTCAAACAATAAAACACTTGTTGCATATAAAAAAGTTTAAGCCTATCTGAAATTTGCCAAACTGGCTAAAAACTGAAAATGTGACGTAAACATCGGTCCCGGGTTACCTGTACCTCCTGCATGGAAAAGGATATATCAACACGTATTCTATATTTTGTCTTCAAATCTTCAGAATTGATAGATAATTGAATGATGTATCACTGGTAGGAAAATCAAAGGGATTGGTCCATAAAAAGTATCTGTGTAAGAAAGCGTCCATTACTTATTGATCACCCCTCGTGTTATAATGCTAAGCTGATTGTCAGCATGTAAGTGAAAATAATGCAGCAACTGGTTCATTCTTTTAACTCAAAGACCAGTTTTGTGAATAAGTCCCTGAACTCAGAGTTTCTTTTAATATTCTGGGAAAATTGACCTCGATATGTCTCTCCTAAATAACAGACATTAAAATGGAATAAAATAGTGCCTCTTTAATCAGTGTACTAAAAGAGCACAAAAAACAAAAACAGAATACAAAAAGAATTTTGGTGCTTAACATTTCATGTAAAATAACATTTATTAAAAATGTGTGTCTCACTTACTGTGTGATATTTGTGCCTTTGTTTGCTTTCTTGAATACTTCTTTAGGTTCACCAATAATCTCAATGGACGTAGCACTGATGTCTAACAGACCCTCATTGTATCTATGAGACATTATAAAAGAAATTCAGTATCATAAGATACATAAAAATATTGTGCCTGAGAATGTCTATATTTCATGAGTCAGCAGACGACTGAGATTATCTTTCGAGGGCACAATGTTTTATGTATATTATGAAGTCATTGAAATTATTTTTTATTCAATGGTATATACATTTTAATTTGTCTTTCAACACAACATTAGGTTAAAATATGGATTCCGTATCCTATAACTCACCAAAACACGACTTTTGTAAGTCACATGGGACAATCAGATCAATATAAAATCACATTTGGATAAAAAACCAATATAGAGAATTTGCTAAGAAAGGCGATGCTATTTTCATCAAGATTCAGACACAGACTGTACCAAACCTGATGCAGCCCGATTTGGTTCAGCCTGATTCATGCTGACCTGAATCCGACCCACTTTTTGTAAATGCAAAGCCTGCAATCTTGATATATTTTACAAAACACAGAAAGTAAAAATGATAAAAATAAAGACATATACCTTCCTTCTCGTTTGGCACTTTCTATTTGATGTTCAAGGCAAGCACTAAAATACTGGAATATCTAAAACAGAATTTAACCTTTGGAAAGTTCATGGACTTTTTTCAGTCAGTACTATTAGGGAATACAATAAACATAATGAAAATTAAATTAATCACCAAATTCTATTTCATGATTTCAGCATGTACATTTCAGTAATTAAAATAGGCTAAAAAGTCAATAGTTCAATTTAGTGTGACATCTTATATAGTCAATACATGATTACAATAGAATCAAGTTTTATACTCACCAAGTTCTGTTTGGTAACACTGAGACCAAGAATTCTGTTGAGAAATTTACCCACATCTCCATTGTCTTCTTTCTTCATACCTCCTCCAAACCTAGAAATATTGGATTATTATACCTTGATGTATTCATATCTTGTTTCTCATGTTTAAACATGTTTCTCATTAGATCTGATGTCTGGTAATAAGTAACTCCACAGACAGCTTTTTTTAAGATGGAATCTATCTTTCCAGGGCAACTTAATTTTCAATGGACCTAAATTGTTCAAAATGTTGTCAAAGAATGCCAATTTCGATTTTTTATATATGCTGGTTTTAACCAATAAAATGACAAAGTTTAGCTCAAAAATTCTGGAATTCATATGTTTTAGGATTCCCCTGTGTAAAATAATTACAATGCCATTACCTGATTGTTTCCATTTCAATGATTCCCATGAGTACAAGACATTGTTGTAACATCTCATTGAAAGAGTCAAAGTCGTATGCTGTTCCCATCAACTCATCTATGTTAACACCCTGAATATGGTCCTTCTGAAAATACAATAGAAATACTTGGGTAAGTGATTTAATGGCACATCCATGATATAGGTTTTACAAATACAAGGACTAGTGTCAGGAGTTTATGCAAAAAAACATTGATATGATAAATCTCGAGCAGAATATATCCTGTATTGCACTTCAAATCATTCAATAACGTTTTTATCGTGTGATCCTCTGTATTGCTACTGAGATTGTCCCCTCCATACCAATATTTTCTGAACTTACATGTTTTACTGCATGGTACATAGCTCTCAATGCAGATCTACCGTAAGGTGTATCAAAGTTAAACAAGTAGAACTTACATGTATTATTGCATGGTACATAGCTCTCAATGCAGATCTGCCATAAGGTGTATCAAAGTTAAACAATAATATAACTTACATGTATTACTGCATGGTACATAGCTCTCAATGCAGATCTACCATAAGGTGTATCAAAGTTAAACAAGTAGAACTTACATGTATTATTGCATGGTACATAGCTCTCAATGCAGATCTACCATAAGGTGTATCAAAGTTAAACATTAATAGAACTTACATGTATTACTGCATGGTACATAGCTCTCAATGCAGATCTACCATAAGGTGTATCAAAGTTAAACATTGATAGAACTTACGTGTATTACTGCATGGTACATAGCTCTCAATGCAGATCTACCATAAGGTGTATCAAAGTTAAACTCAGTCAGATCAGCTCCTGTAGCAGCTCTTCTATCACCCTTGGTTATTGCACCTGGAAATAAGCAAAAAATACAATTAAATGGACTTTAGAGCTGAAAGGTAAGAACTTTGAACTGCCTGGAAATGGGAGCAGAAGCTCTAATGGCCCCTAGAAATGAAAGGAAAAGTTACAATATTTACTTTAGGGGTGGACAGGGCTCATGAAGTATATTACCTGCAGGCACCCGACGACCAGCCAAACCCACACATTATTTACTTACAAATTCTCATTTTCATAATTCTGAATTTTTTTCAATTTTTTTTCATTTTTAAATGGGACCAAATAGGTCATCAAGTGAATGCTGGGAGATCACTGACAATTGCACAAAATGATTAAGTACAGCATTCTGATATACATATACATAGGCCTACCTAAAGACTGCAAGCGTCTTGCCACAGCAGAGGCAAACCTTCTCTCTCCTCCAAGATTTGTTGTCAGCAGTTTGTACAAAGGACCACTACAAAATAGTTTGTTTTTATGATTCCCTTTTGGTGGAAATGTAAATTCTGAGAGATCGTTTATGCACAAAGGTAGTTCAAAATGCATGATTGGACATTTTATCTGTCAGTCAATCTTTATCAGAGTATAATTATTAAGATAATACACAAAATGGAGCTCCCTTTTGTTAAAATCTTGTATTAAACAAGGTTCAATCAACATAATGTACATGTAGTTCATGATATCACAGGCTGGTATCGAAAAATTTGTCCGCTGTGACAGAGCGTGTTATTTTGCAATAGAAACACTAGGAAATCCACACAATTTATTTTTTACTCATATGTTTTACTATATCAAAGAAAACTACTGACTCCATGTAATGAATATATCATTTGCGGGTAACTTTAACTTCTGTTTGAAGTCCAACAACACTAAGAGTAAAAGCTATTGAAAACGGCGTCGGAGTATCATACTCCAAAATGTACCATTTCTTTTATTTCTTTTTAATGGTACAATGTAGCGACACGATAATATTTACATATGTTTTCAGCATAACTCTGAAGGTATTAATGAGATCTTTATGTATTGGGTATTTTTAATTTTTTTTGATAAAAAATAATAATTAGATTTTTTGTCCGCTGTGACGGAGCATTTTCAAATCTGAAATACGTTAAGAATTTAGATTTATAATATATCTCTTTACAACTACACGTTAGAGGAGCGAGCGTGTCAAATCTCGTAAAGTATTCTGAAAAATGAAACGTAATAAAAGTACACAATTCAAATTCTGAGATGTATATACGACCACTCTTTAAAGCATCTTTTCTCAGTTTGTACTGCAATCCAACTTATGCATGGTAACTCATGAAAATGATAGTCAACTTCATTTAAGTATAGGGTATTTCCCTTTCGTATTGCCTTCTGTGGATCCATCGGCCTGACATGGTCATTTTTTACGGTAACTTGATTATTTGAAGTAAAATGATTTGCTGAAGATGAGGCTAAATACATATGATGGTATGGCATGTGGATTGTTCTACCCTCTTTAGTCGTTCCAAAAGGTAAGTTGAGTGTATCTTGAAATACAAAAATGCAAAATTTGATTTTAAGATCGTTCTTTATTTGAATAAGAGTTATGACTATCTGATGCAACTACAGTAAAACATGTGTACAGTGAACACATATGGAGCCCAAAAATGTGTTCCCAGTTGGTAGTAGATGTTCGCTTCATTGAGGCAATTTCATACAGAAGTCAGAGGAATATTTGATAAGAAGAGGTGTTCACTAGAGAAAGATATTCATTGAGACAGGTTTTACAGTGCAGCACGTTTAGCAAGACTTTTTTTTATAATTTTAGTCTATGCAAAATGATGAATTTCATGAATTTCAAATAAATACAAATTAAATCTGTATTGGGATCATCTTATATACAGTAATATTATGTGGTAAAAGGTTATACATCTGTCGGAATGCAGGATGTCTGTGCGCTATTTCGAATAAATTCATATTAGCCCTATTTACACTACACGTGACATTTCAAGACATCTTGGCGAAAACGTATTAGAAATATTATGTTGAGTTTACACCATGTTGATTCATGTTGATTTCAGTAAAAACCTCCGTTGTCGTTTTTATATCTCAGATTTACATTACACCAGATCTCCAAGAGACTACTTCAACTTGTCATAATTTAGGAAAGTGATTTGTGACGTTCTCTCTTCTAAGGGTACTTTTAAAAGATATGATTTGAATCTTAAATTCTTTACGTAGTTCACAGTTAAAACTGCTCCGTCACAGCTGACAAAAAATGTAAACATTATTTTTTATAAAAAATATTAAAAACACCCAATACATCAAGATATCATTAATACCTTCAGAGTTATGCTGAAAACACATGTTAATATTATCGTGTCACTATATTGTACCATTAAAAAGAAATAAAAGAAATGGTACATTTTGGAGTATGATACCCCGGCGCCGTTTTCAATAGCTTTTACTTTTAGCGTTGTTGGACTTCAAACAAAAGTTAAAGTTACCCGCAAATGTTATACCCATTGCATGGAGTAAGAAATTTTCTTTGGAATAGCGAAACATGAGTAAAAAAATTAATTGTCTGGGTTTCTTAGTGTTTCTATGCAAAATAGCACGCTCCGTCACAGCGGACAAATTTTTCGATACCAGCCTGTGGATATAATGTATCGCATCTGGACATAAAAAATTTGAACATGACTCAATATAACCAACCCTCAGAAAAATTATTGAACAAACCTTGACTGGTTGGACCTATGTGATCTTCCCATCTGTTGAACAGCTTTGTCAGCTGACCATGGAAGTTCCAATGTGATATGTACTCTTCTACATTGGTTAGCCACTCTTAGGTCTGTATGCAGGGATATACCTACAATAACAATACATTGGTTAACTACATTGTACAGCTTTATCAGCTGACCATGGAAGTTCTAATGTGATATGTACTCTTCTACATTGGTTGGCCACTCTTAAGTCTGTATGCAGAGATATACCTACAATAACAATACATTGGTTAACTACAGCATACAGCTTTATCAGCTGACCATGGGAGTTCTAATGTGATATGTACACTTCTACATTGGTTGGCCACTCTTAGATCTGTATGCAGGGATATACCTACAATAACAATACATTGGTTAACTACATCTGTTGAACAGCTTTATCAGCTGACCATGGGAGTTCTAATGTGATATGTACTCTTCTACATCGGTTTGTCACTCTTAGGTCTGTATGCAGAGATATACCTACAATAACAATACATTGGTTAACTACATCAGCTTTATCAGCCGACCATGGAAGTTCTAATGGGATATGTACTCTTCTACATTGGTTGGCCACTCTTAAGTCTGTATGCAGAGATATACCTACAATAACAATACATTGGTTAACTACAGCATACAGCTTTATCAGCTGACCATGGGAGTTCTAATGTGATATGTACTCTTCTACATCGGTTTGTCACTCTTAGGTCTGTATGCAGAGATATACCTACAATAACAATACATTGGTTAACTACATCAGCTTTATCAGCTGACCATGGAAGTTCTAATGTGATATGTACTCTTCTACATTGGTTGGCCACTCTTAAGTCTGTATGCAGAGATATACCTACAATAACAATACATTGGTTAACTACAGCATACAGCTTTATCAGCTGACCATGGAAGTTCTAATGTGATATGTACTCTTCTACATTGGTTGGCCACTCTTAGATCTGTATGCAGGGATATACCTACAATAACAATACATTGGTTAACTACATCTGTTGAACAGCTTTATCAGCTGACCATGGGAGTTCTAATGTGATATGTACTCTTCTACATCGGTTTGTCACTCTTAGGTCTGTATGCAGAGATATACCTACAATAACAATACATTGGTTAACTACATCAGCTTTATCAGCTGACCATGGAAGTTCTAATGTGATATGTACTCTTCTACATTGGTTGGCCACTCTTAGGTCTGTATGCATGAATATACCTACAATAACAATACATTGGTTAACTACATTGTACAGCTTTGTCAGCTGACCATGGAAGTTCCAATGTGATATGTACTCTTCTACATTGGTTGGCCACTCTTAGGTCTGTATGCAGGGATATACCTACAATAACAATACATTGGTTAACTACATTGTACAGCTTTGTCAGCTGACCATGGAAGTTCCAATGTGATATGTACTCTTCTACATTGGTTGGCCACTCTTAGGTCTGTATGCAGGGATATACCTACAATAACAATACATTGGTTAACTACAGCATACAGCTTTATCAGCTGACCACGGGAGTTCTAATGTGATATGTACTCTTCTACATTGGTTGGCCACTCTTAGGTCTGTATGCAGAGATATACCTACAATAACAATACATTGGTTAACTACAGCATACAGCTTTATCAGCTGACCACGGGAGTTCCAATGTGATATGTACTCTTCTACATTGGTTGGCCACTCTTAGGTCTGTATGCAGAGATATACCTACAATAACAATACATTGGTTAACTGCATACGATGTTCTGAAGTTGCATATCTTTTGTTCTAAAAAGTTTAATCAGTGACTTGGACAATCAAGTTTAACACAAACCTGTTTGAGATTAATCAACAGGTTTTTAATTCAGCTGCAAGTTTTTGTAATTTGCACACATTATGTAAATGGGTCCTTCTCTTGCTTTAATGTTGTACATTGTAACTTACATATTAATCAAGCTTACTTTTCAATTTGATTCATGACTTTTGAGTGGTCTTATCATGGGATTTAGCATAGTTATTGACTAGGAAACTAGTTGAAGTGCAGAAGATGCTGTGAGTTCTGCTATTTTGGAAAAAATCCACCCAGTACTGAAAGATGTGGTAGGTTGTCATATTGTAACTTTCTCTGAATAAAAATAGTTATACTAAAATACAGACCTGTGCTTGCTGCATCTGATATTATGGCAACCAGTTTCTTTCCTGACATGAACAGATTCCTCTACAAGCATAAGAGAGACAAATTTATCAAAGCATGTTGCCACTTTTAGAAAATATGGATTATGTGACCATTATTGACTGGAATTCCACAATGACTGAGTGATCTTAGGCCACTGAAAATTGATTATGCGTTAAAATCTGGAGTAAGGGCCATCTTTTAAGAGTGTGTGAGGTGAAAAAAACTCTATTTACTGTATTTCTCTTAGAATAGTACAAATACCATAACACATAAAAAGAAAGTGATCGATTAAGCGACACACCAATTTTAAAGTTTCTAAGTCATTAGACTTCATTGCAAATACATATAGGGGAGGTGAAGTTGAACATATATTTAACTTGAATGGCCTTTTTCCAGTGTTTGTATGTAAATACGGCTTCATTGCCAAGTCAGAGATTATTTTTAAAAATAAACATAAAAAACAAAATGGCCACCATAGTGAGAAAAATGAGAATTATGATCGAGCTCCAATCCAGTTTTGTTAAAAAATCCAATCCAATCTTGTGTATTCATACCTCTTTTACATTGAGACTTTCTAAGCCTGCAAGATTATCTGAGGCTCTCAACTCATATGCTGGGACATCACCTGGATTGTGTCGTACAATTCTTCCCCTGCGTCCTGTCATCTCTGCCACTGCCTCTGGTCCACCTAATTGGTCAGTGATGTCATCCAATGGACTGAAATAACACATCATCATGTTTGTGATGTTAATCTTTCATGTTAATCTTCGACAACATCCAGATGCAACTTGTTAAATAAATTCATATGGCTGGAATATTATTCTGCTGAATGGTTTCTAATCTCACACTACATTTGAGTTTTTTAATGAATTGTTTATATTGTACAATTGATCTTTATTAACAGTTTGTTTTCTTTTAGCCAAGTAAAAATATAGTATACTATTGTTATGTATTTGATGAATTCACAAAAAGTTTTTACACTCGGTTTCAAGTGGGTGCAAATGGTGGGTGTGAGCCTATTATTAATATCACATGTGGGTGCAATGCCTACTTGCTTTAATACAAGGAAGATCACTGCATTAGTCACACACCTGTTTGGAAGATCTATCTTCTTGGCAAAATCAAGCAGCATTGTCTTTGCTGTAACGCTCCAATCATCTTCCTTGACTTCATTCACTGCGGACATCTGGAGGAAAATATTGAGATAATATTAGATAATGGATTTGCACAAAAGCAACTAAAATAAAGGACCCACGGTCCTGTGCTCACACAGTGTTTTGTGCAGCCAATGATGATTGACTTTATACATGAGAAAGTTCCCTGAAAATGAGTCCTACTTTTTTCAAATTTTATAGTGTAAACACCAAAAACTGTAATTTCAAGAGCTTTGAAATGTTTAGAGAAATTAAGTTACATATACAGCAACTACAACAAGTTATTTGAAAGTTCTACTTCAACAAAGTGTCTAGTATTTACAGAAAATTTGATTTTTTTGACGTCAAAATCAGCAATTTCTCGGAAACTGGGCGAACTTGACTCAATCCGAATAGCAGTTTTGATTTGTGCAGCCAATGTTGACGGATGGACGGACAGACGCCTGGTCGATCCCATAGGCTCACTGTGTGAGCCAAAAAGCAGTTGCAATATGAAAAAATTATTCGAAAGAAATGTACATGAGGCAAGAGACATTAAATACAAGGCATAAATATGAACAAGGCATAACATGCAAAACGTCACCACATGCCCTTTCTTACAGACACCAAATGTCAAACGCAAACTACCGAACACCATCCAAAAAAAAATTGGAGACTTACAATATGAGATTTCTTCTGGTGGTTAAAAAAACTCACTGAATAACATACCTAAACAGATTCTTATTGAATTAGAAACAAAAAGTGAGTGAATTAGAAATACAGAATTAGAAACAACTACATTGTAAATGAAATAGCATTATATTGAATAAGAAACAAATACTTGCTGAACTAAAAATATACTATATTAGAAACAACAGTGAAACCTGTATATCTGTACACCTCTCTTATGAAAATAACTTTCTTTTTTGGCGCTAATTTTGTTATGTCACATCGACCCCGTGTGACATTCAGATTAGACAGGTTTACTGAACTTACTTAATTAAAAACTTCCTGAATTAGAAACAACTTCCTGAATTAGAAAAAACTTACTGAATTAGAAAAAACTTACTGAATTAGAAAAAACTTACTGAATTAGAAAAAACTTACTGAATTAGAAACAACTTACTGAATTGGGAACAACAGCTATGACTGTGGGAAAGTGTTGTTCTATAAATCTAGATAAGATTTCTCGACACAGTGAGATGAAACCTTGGACTGCTCCAACTCCCTTGTTAAGTTCACTCTCCATGCTGGCCTCTCCCGTTGTCTGGAGACCTAAATATATATACTTTTTTAATACAATTAGCCTTGCCCAAGTCGGTATTTTTTTACTTATCTGATCTTGAATTATTACCGCCTTGTACAATCCAATACATCTCCGCTGTTATTATGCTGAAATATTCAACGGTTTCGAGATTTCCATAATACCTACGCTATCAGGGGTATCGCGAAACGTTATTGATCGACAGATATCGCGTGGACACAATGCGTGACTTCAGGCTGAATGACCAATCAAAACGTTATCAGGTTGAGCTGCATAAACAAAACAAACTTCCCATCTATGACTTGAAATTCAATGATCTGATCTCGTGTTTCTTTAGAGTTACAATACATTATATAATTAAATGTACATTGGAAGGTAAGAGTCATTAATATAAATTAAATCATGCGATTCAATGTTGATTTAAAACTGATTTCGCGATGAAAATGCACGAAGACCTAGTCCAATGTAGCGAGTCATGTTGTCGTCGATCGGCGATTGAATCTCAGCCTTCATGTTCAGCGATCGTTTGAACGTTTATTGTTGAAATCTTCTCACCTTTGGTGATCCGATCGATCAGAGACATATATATGTCTCTGGATCGATGCCCCGGCATCCACTAAACTCTCATTGATATTTATCTGATAAAATATTTGTATTTTCATGATGAATTCATGCTCAGATTCGTGCAAGATTTGTTCGTGAAAAGTCCTGGTAAAAAGTGTACTTGTTTTTGACCCTGCATAATAATGAGCTAACGCTACAGGGCCGTCGTTGATTGGTCAACTTTTACCGACATCAACAAACTGTCGGTAAAGCATGTGGCTTTCTCTTTGGTACAAGGCGGTCATAATAGAAATCAAGATAAGTAAAAGAGACCGACTTGGGCAAGGCTATAATACAATATACTTATATAGATATAGAGCACATATTTTCACTTAATGATAATAGGATAATTTCTTAGTTTTATCTTTTTTGACAATTTAATCCATCTTTTTTTCCATTTACATATCAATGAGAATCGCATCAACTTGTTCCATTTACGTAATTCAAAAACTTGGAGTATGTAATGAAAATTATTTAAATCATTTCATATGTTTATTTTCTCCACTCACCTATGACTACACTATGTCCAGCATTAAGTGCTTCTTTAGCCTCTTTCACAATGGCAGGCACTTTCATGCCCATGCTAAAACAACAAAACAAGAAACTCAAGGGTTATTACTTGTAGAATGGTTACCAGCGTAAGATCAAGAGTCAAATTACATTTTTTGCAAAACTGCTATCACAATGAACCCTCCCAATGGCCCAATGTTCGCAAAAATCAAACCAAATGTTAATCCACCGACCCATGAGAAGTGTGAACCCAGTTTTTTAACCATCCCAAGCATCTTACATTTTATTTTTTTTAATTTTATTTGAGACTGAAGTATGTATTCACAGTGCATTTTAATTATGAAATTGATCTTAGATAGCTTGTGAACATTTTCCATAGTAAATTACTGTACTCTGATCTCTGAGTGTATTCAACTAACTGATTAATTTATTGTCAATTACTGACATTTCCCTACAATTGAGATATAAAACAAAAAGATGCAAACTGATTTAAATAAGTACTGACCACATCTGTTTGAAGAACCTCTGATGGCAACCCCAGTATGATGCCCAGATTCTGTTATTGGTTGTTGCAGTTCTGCTAATTGCACTCTCTAAAGCTTTCCTTGTCTCATTCCTAAATGAAACAAAAAAATATTAAATCTTACTACATTGTCTCAACTTTATCACTGTATATGAACTATGTAGTTTCATGAGTTATATATCATATATCAGTAGACCAAAGGATCAAATTGATGAGATATATTTCAACACTTAAACATGTTTATTGGATGAATTAACAGTTTTCACCATGTACCAGTGGTTTGCCATTTTTCAATGTGAAACATGTAAATGTATACCATACTAGTCCACCAGCATAGTTCAGCTGTAACGTGTGTACCTCTTACACATTAGGTCCCAGATTCAATCCCCGGTTCTGGCAACACTTAATTTACATGTTTGCGTAAAGTACTTCAGGGTGTTTGACTGAGTGGTCCACAACTCATACAAAAGGCTGTGGTGTGTGGTGTGTGCTGACTAAGTATGAGTACACATAAAAAGAACATGGGGCTCCATCAAGGAGGGATTCCTTGGTCTGCCTTCAACGATTACACGCATTAAACAAAATACAATACAATACTAAGTATATGTATACATTTTTACTAGAATATGTTACATACCATACATGAGCTGCTGTGTCGTACATCTTTATCTGATCCTTCGTTAACTCGGCTTCAATAGTGCAAAACTAAAATAACAAAGTTAAAATCATGCGTAAATTACAATGATTTAATACTTATGCAACTTATGTGAGAATGCATGTATTTTATGGTTCATCTAGTAATAGTTTGTATTTTACAAGCAATTTTTTCATGCAAACATTTAGACATGGTCAAACACACATGCAACTATGCATCACTGCCAAAAAAGAATAAGACATAACTTAAACTCTACAATTTTGGTTAAGTTTGTAATACGGTAAAACCTGTGTACAGTGAACACATATTGAGCCACAAAAAAGTGTTCACTGTAGGAAGTGTTCACTTAAGACAGGACGTCATATAGAGAAGCCAATGGGGTTGCACTGAGAAAGGATGTTCACTAAGACAGGTTAAACTGTCCATGGGTAAATGGATGGAGAATATCACAAACTATTGGGTTCTCGCGTTTAGGAAAGTATCAAGTAGACTGTCTTAAGATTTTTGGCAAGGGGTTCACTGTAACCCTACAACCCCCCCCCCTGCCCTGTCTATGGGCCTGCTTACCTCGGCTTGTCTGAAGCTTAGGCCTCTAGATACATACATCCCCGATGATTTCATCTCCATAGCAAGCATCTCAGCAATACCTACAACAAGTGTATCAGAAGAATATTTTGAGTATAGCTTAGTTCTCGTGGGGGTGGTGTGTATAATGGGGGGTGGGGGGGTCAGAGGGACTTGTAGGTAGACTAATGGCTAAGGTAATGTTTCATTTCTATAGCATTTTTGATGATTGCGATGTTTACTGAAGTATTGCAAATATGGGCACATTTCCTTCTACATTTTCTTATATAATTACATGTACAGTATATGTGTCAGCGGTGTCCCCACAATTTTTCCAAGGGGGTGCGTTTACATAAAAAACACTCCCTGTGGACACCCTTGTGTGTATTTAACATATCTTATTCATTGTATGTACATACATAAGAGGGTTGTTCAAATAATGATACTTGTGTAATGTTCTTATTGTAATGTAACTTATTTTTATGTTTCGAGATGAATCAACACAAAAATTCCAGAATTGTTGCAAATGTTTAAACCCCGTATAAAGTATGAATTTTTGTCACATCACTTGAAAAAGAGTGTTTCTATGGAAACTATATGATGGCACCAGATCTTGGACACATATATGTATCCATACGCTTGGAGAAGTAATGTTGTCATTCTTAAAGAATTCTTATTGAATGAATACATTTTATAATACAATACTTTTATTTGAATTTAGCTTTCCACCTACCTAAACCTTTCCTATGTACAGAATCAAGGAACTGTTCAAATGATTTAAAGGGTGCGCCTTCACCCCATAATCCCAGTCTCTCCATGAATGCCTGAAAGCATAAACAAAATGGGGTAACATGGATTCTGGAGTTAGTATAGAGATCTACATGTATAGAGAACATTTACTGCTTAAAACCCAAATTAGCTATGCAACTGCAAAGGAAAAAACCTGTAGAAATCCAAGAGTTACTGGTGAAAGAAGGATATTTGAAAAATATAAGGTTCAATTTCACTAGATGATTTGCACTCCTATAAGTAATGTGAGATGAATTAGTAAAAATGAAATTTCAGTGCACTGTTATCATAAGATAAAATTTTTGGATACATTTTTAATCATACAAAAAGTGGGAGGTTACTCTTACCATATTTTTGACATCAGTAACACCAGTCGCACTGCAGTAAACAACCCTTGCTTTAGGTAGGATCCTACAAAAATATAATGTGTACTGAATCATAAAATGTCGAGGAACCTTTCCAGGAAATCAATTGATGCTGGCTTTATCGTGTTGATGATTGTGCTTGATCTAATGCGACATGTAGATAAATTACACAATCACAATGTAAGTTATTGAAAAATTCTGCATTGGAACAAGACAAAGTCTTACAGAATATCGAGAGCAGAATAAATTCTGTATTGCACTTCAAATCATTCTATAGCCTAACGTTTTTATCATGTGATCTTAGGCCAATGCATTTTATTTAGGAGATAATCCCTAGGAAATATTCTGTATTCTCCGTATTGCTACTGAGATTGTCCCCTCCGCTCCAATATTTTCTGTATTGCTACGGAGATGATCAATGGTGAAAATCTCAGCAGCAATACAGATTGGTACAACACAAGAACTGACCTTTTAGAAGGCTTCATTTTACAGATCCTACAATAAAATCATTTCTCAAATAAAAAAATGAAAAGCCCATTTCACAAATGAAGCATTAAAATTCACCTTTGTATCGAAGCCACAGCCAGCGCCACCTTTGTGCTACTCTGTTCTTTACCAGGTACAAAGTTCTTAGCTTTGTGGCACTCGTCAAATATGAGACAACCTTCAAAGTTTTCCCCTCCACACCATTTCACCAACTGTTGCAGTCTGCTCTGTTTAGCAGACCCAAAGAAACCTGGAGAAGAATAAAAAGCAATGCGTTAGGCCACACTATAGTTAAAAATTCCATATGCCATTGAAGTAAATGTTAGAAAAGTTAACAACAGGGTGGACCAAAAAATGTTAACTATTCTAATTTAACACTACTATGAGGGTGTAAATAAAGGATAATGACAGAAAAGTTAGCATTTTATGTTATTTCACTTTGTATGATGTATAAGGTTTTATGTTTCATTTGCATGTTAATGCCTTGTTTGATTTTGCAATAATCTTCAAAGAAATTCAACAAAGAAAAAAGCAAAAACAAAATTTGAAACATAAATGCTATAGTTCAAACAACAAAATAGTCAGAGAAAAATATGAACACCTTGAATTATAACACGGCATTAAAATGCAAAATGTCACTACCTGTCTTTCGTAATAGAAACCAACCACCAAATGGCATTTGTTACATACACCAACCACCAAACACCATCCATAGAAAAAATCGGACACTACAACAATATGTCAACACATACCTCCTTTCTGTGTTGATGAGACTAGTGTGGCGTATGTGCTGAAGATTACCCCATCTTTGAAGTCTGACGGCAACCCTAGTGCTCTGGTTTCCTTGTCTAGCTGTTGACAACCTTCTATCACTTTTACATAGCATCCTATATCCTCAAGATCTCTGAATAAAAAAAAATTATTTGTTCATCAAAGTGTGATCAAGAGAATAGTGTTATCAGGACCCATTATGCCTTTTTGATTTTGAATATATTTTGAGGGGAATTGATCTACTTACATATTTTTGAAATTTAAGTACATTGTGATTCTTTTGTTTATTCTGTACACTTCTTAAGATAAAATGCAATATATTTGATATAGAGTTTAGTAATGATAAAAACTTCTATATGCATATGCATAATTATCATTCATCAATGAGGGAAGGAGAGGGTCTAATCTTCAATTCAAATATGATACATGCACTAATATGCAAAAGATGATGAGTTGACCTGGTTGTTAAATGATAATGATATGTAAATGCATTCGTACCTCCTTGCATCTACAATTAGATCCGTAGAAATACTGAACCAAATATGCTTAGTGCGCCCTCTAGCGAAGTTATCTAGGACTATTCCTGCTACTTGACGTCCTTTCCCGACACCTGCTCCATCCCCAATAAAGAATCCAGCTCTTGTCTGGTTGGCTAAGATAAGCTGATGACGTTGACACTTTACAAAGAAAAAAGTTTCATAAACAGTATATACACAAGGGATATGCAATGAGAGGTTTAGATAATATATTTATCCCAAGTAAGGAAATATGTGTATCTCTGGAAGGATAATACACATATTTCTATTTGTCCAAGACACACCATTAATGGACACAAAAAATGTTTACGCCACACTCTAAATAATATCATCTTCCTAGCAGGTGTCCAGAATCCGTACCTCTTTCTTCCCCCCTGCTATAACCAAGTTGGAAGCGCCCGATTAAACTGAATCATGTGATCTAATTATGCGCCAATGACGTATCCATGATTACACTGCAACAGCGAATCAAATTGCGAGTTCTTAATCGGGGAAATGCTAACTGCTTATAGCAGGGGATAAAAAGAAAGGAGATATTCTGGATTTTGAAGCCCTGTGATCGGAAGATGGATAATATTCATATCCTTCTTTTAAGTATGCTAGAACCTCATTATAGGAATGGGATACAATTATTGTAACACATTTACTTTGGATTCTGTAATGATGTTTTTAAATGTAAAAGCGTTGCCAAAAATTTCAAAGTAATCAAGTTTGAGAAAGGCTTATATTTGTATACAGGACAAGGGCAAACAAATATCTTATGGCTCAAGAAAACTAAATCATAATGATGTGTTTCACAAAATCAATCATGTTGAAACATCTATCAAGTATGTTGGACTTACAGCATAAAGTATTCCCTCTAACTGTAAACTGCTTAGCTTTCCCTCCGATACTAGAGTTGGTGGAAGTGAATCCTGTAAAGGGTATGTAGGGTTAGGGAGATCCAAATCCTGAAAAAACAAAGGTTTATAGGATAAGAGACAATGTTGAAATGTCAAATTGTATGAAAAAACAAAACTGATTTTTTCGAAGGAATATTAAATGACAATCTTGATATATGTGAGAGAATATTGATTTTTAAAACATAGAATGAGAACCAAATCAACAATTGTGTTATGGAGAGGGCAGTTAAATCATTATGAATCAAACTTTGTTTTTTTAAAACAAACTACATTTTGAGGCAAAAGGTACTGAGTTCAATTCCAGTACCTAGTGTGCCTTGTGGTCAGAAAATGTGGTAGGGGGAGGTCTAAAACGTCAACCGATTGGACTGAAATTTTTTGTGCTTGCTTTCATTTAACCAACTGGGCAAAACTCCATATTGATCCGGAAAAAAAGTGAAAAGTGAAACACCCTAATATTCATACTTACAGCAAGCATGCCTGCCTCCACGATATCTCCTGGATGAGGTTGGGCACCTTCGAGTATTGCACTATGACGGTAGTTAGAAAACACTTCATCACTACAAAAATTCAAAGGCAAAAAATATTTTAATTTAGCATCCAAATATGAGAGCAAGCAAGCACCCACTTGATATTTTTAAGAGAAATGAAGTCTTGAATATAATGATTAGATTTTATAGGCCAGATTAAACTTTATCTAATATTCAATCTTGGTAGAACAGGGATTTCATTAGCAGCAGGCAACAGGCGATTTTTACTGATTGTTTTCAAAAAACCACCTGTTGTTTTTAAGGACTTATCAACTTTTCCATATTTTTATTCATTTAGCCTGTTGTGAGAAATTCTAGTGAAACCCCTGTAGAGTCACAGGTTTTGGAAAAGGTTGAATTGTTTACCTTAACTTAGCCTCCACACTCTCTTGTGCAATCTTCTCAATATCATCTCCCTCTTCTACAGTTTGCCCTATCTGTCTCTCTAACAACACTTGCGGCTTCTGTTGCTCCTTGAGGGCACGCATCGCTTGCATCTCATTGAACATTGGGGCTGTAGCATTTAGGGGGTTGCTTGTACCAAGAGCCTCCAGGAGAAGATTACTAGAGCCTGGCACTGAGTTGTAGGCTGTTGAAGGGTCCATGCTTTGGATATCTGTAAGAAACCTGGATGTAGGAAGGTTGTCAACACTTCTCTTACGAGCAATCATGGCTTAATATGTTATAAAGAGAAGCAATCCTTTTCATTTGACATTTTATTTTTCAACTATTTTTCTGCTAAGTGATATAAAAGTTCAAAACATCTACAAATATAGTACTCACATATGTATGAGGTACTAAAGGATACAATACATATGGCCATTGGATTTAAAATGGGGTCAAAAGAATAACATTTTTTTCACTTTGCTCAATTTGAGCAGAAAAATACAATACTTTCAATACAATCTTTTTACCGCTGCTAGACCTGTTACGCTGTTATGATTTTTTGCGGTAAAATTATTGACAGTTGACGGCTCAAACTAATTATTTAAGAACTTCAAAACTATACAAGGTAGGACAATGAAAATATTTATATAAATCAATCAATATGTTGTGCATAACTGGTAAAATTTTCAAATACATAGCTGAATGATTTCAATATGAATTAACTGGAGTTTGATGATAAGTATTACAACCACTTCAAATCCAATATGGCGTCAACGTTATAAGTGGCGCAAAATCAAAGTTTGCACTAAAATACGTCACAATCTGGCCCTGTGTGATGGCAAACTGCGTAGTATTTTATGCCAGTGCCGGAAAAGTCCGATAGTTGAAATAGTAGACAGAGCTGCCCAGCCTCTAGTACCATTGAGTATCAAAGTTTTAACCTTACGCCTAGAGATGGTCCTATTTACAGTCACAACATTTACAAAAATAACATCGGGGCAAGTGCATCTGATTCTGGGCAGTGACGAAGTAGCCCTATCTTCTAAGTTCGATGGAGGACCCCTAGGCTCATCAAATTGAAAACATGTTGGAGGAAAACGAGTTTTTGTAGAAATCTGAAATTTTACTTCACCGTCGATTTCTTGTTTTGAAATGGATCGATTGCCTTGATATTTCTCAGTGTTACGAGACTTTATTTTATCTTTTCAAATTGGGCATTAAGAATGCAAGAATATCGTAAAACGTAAAGATATTACCTATAATACGCAAAACAAAATTTTAAGATTTCCGCGCCATTTTGATATTTTTTAGCGATGAAATTACACGTATCACGAAATACGTTTCAATATAAGTTCGTGATTCATCACAAGCTTACATTATTGATTTACCCGGGAAAATGGCACCGAACGGCTACTGGGGTGAGAGGACCGCCACAATCGACTGGTGCGAAGAGAACTATGAAGTAAATTACTACATTGCAGAGTTTTGTAAGTATTTAGTATGTATTCTACATTCTGTGCGAGTTTTGGGAGTCTGTTATAACTCAGACACTCTAAACATCTGATCTAAAGTTTGGTAAAAAATATTCACCGGGCGATAACATGTTTGTTTACATTCTCAACAGAAAATTCTAGAAAATATATGTTTCATCTGTTGAATTCGATGATTCGCATTCAATATTTAGCTTACTGAGCTCTGCGTTCATCTGCATTTGATAGTATCGGCCTAGAACATGGTAACTTGTTTTGTGTCACAATCTCTTCATTTGCGAAACAGTTGCGGATGAGTGCATATTGAACGCCATCCATTCAGGGATTCTAATGAGCACATAATAAAACTGTATATATTAGTACAAATATATAAGTGATTTTAGACTTTATGAAAATATTAGCACAAGTTAGAGGCACAAGTGTAAGCACAGGCGAAAAACAAGCTCCACAAGACCATTTAGCGGCATTATAGCGCATAAAAGGATGCGATTACAAACAAACATTCTGTAGCCCATTTCACTGTTTTATTGCGTCAGTAAAACCTTAAAAATAAGAAATCAAAAGATCAATGCAATAATATATGGAAAAATGTATGCCTATTGTACATACATGTAGATTTACTCCCGTCGAGAGCTACTTAGATTTTGAAAGTATAGCTCTCTATCGCTAGGATCAACAGCTTAAGAATCCTGACTTCAAAGAAAATTTCAGGGAATTCAGCTGACTCATGTTGCACATTATATACCTGAAAATGTATCCTACATCGCCATCTTTCATTCAGCTCAACTATAGAACGTCTCACTGCCCTATGTATCGATCAGGACTTCATTTTATTGGTCGTGTCAAAAGTTTTGGCCAGGTATATTCAATATGGCGGCTTGACGTTTCCCAAGTTGTGCATGCGTTGATAGTATTTCCGTTTAACCGCCATATTGGAAATGGGTATCGAACAAAAAACGATTAGAACTCCTGATCGCCATAGAAGCACATCCGCGATCCTACATGCACGGGGAAAGTAGACACATATGAGCCCATATGTAGGCTACAGTTTGAGACAAACAGCAAGCCGTTGACTGGCGCTGATCAAATTAAGATGTTACAATTCTTCAGCTGGGAGATCCTCACGATGGAGAGCTATACTTTCAAAATCTAACATGGTAGCTCTCGACGTGAGTAAATGTAGATGACATTTGTTTATTTGTCTTTGATTGCTTCTACTTTGGCTAATAAAGTGTGTGGCCTCTTAAATTTTGATGCTTTTCTGCCATAGTATTTTCAAAAGGATTAGCACGCTGACATTTTTTAGATTACAAGAGGGCACAGGCTTATTGCACAAAAATTAAATAATCTGAAATATACAAATGTCATTCATGTATAATATGAATATACTTTTCCATATATTATTGCACAATGGTCTCCTAATTTCTCAATTTTGGTGTTCTACTGACGCAATAAAAAATAAAGTAAACAAATGTAAATGTGTTTGAATTCACATTTAGCATAATTAAACTTTGTTAAAGGAGGAGGTAAATTAGCGCAACCGATTTTGGACAGTCATGATCATATGTTGGATTTTGGCCATTTTCTGAGGATTTAAACAATTGCATATGTTAGGCCAATGCATTACCTCCAGGAAAATCACTTCTAGAGATGATAAAATAATTTCGAATTTGAGACAGGGTAGATGCAAACAACCCACCAACATGTTTTTTTCCTGAAATGTTTTCCTAATTTTCGACCCCTTTCATCCCTGCTTTTTTAATTTTTCTTGCATGAATATGTTGTGTTTTGACACATAGTTAACCACTTTAAAGGAATACATGATTCCTTCAGGGGTTTTAAAGATACCCATTACGGGTGACCAAACTCAGCTGAAAGCAATGATTTTCCCCATGGGAAAATAACGTGGGGAATATTGTTTTCCACTTTATCTAAAAGGAATCATTTATGACAAAAAATATTCAGAAAACCACTTTATGACGGATTCTCCAAATTGCATTATTGAACTTAAAGGAAGAATAAAATACAAACTGATTTAGGCTTGCCCAAATCAAACTCCATACTGACTGTGGTGGATGACCATTTTGTCAGCCTTTTATACAGATATATAAACAAAACATTTACAAATTTGGTTAATGAAAATGATGAATGGAAATCTGCACTAAAGGCTAATGATCAGATGATACAGACTTACTTTGAGCAGTATAACGTTTATAAGGCTAAAGTTAGCACTACATGTAGTTTGTGACCTGAGAAATGCCTCTAGTGTCATCATAAATTAGAATACACAAATGGTTGTCATGACATTAAAGGTAAACAAACATGTAAACACAAATGTCAGTCTGTTCTCCTTTGATTTTTTCATCAAAGACATGCAAAGTTTCCATATTCATAAATGTACATTAAAAATACATGACTGAATTTCATGACTGAATGGTAAATGCAAGCCTATTCTCTAAATAACTAAAATGCAATACCTGCCTGAGAGAAATGCAATGCTTTAGAGATAAAACACAATGCCTCGGAGATTACTGCACAAACACAATAAGCAGTTTAGAGGTACAATTTTGAGAATATCTGTTTATCCACAAATACATGTACATAGATAAAATAATATTTTGAAAGGGACATAATAAGTACTAGTCTACTTAGAGTGTTGCACTTACAACAGTTCTAGTTTTTCACTGCAATTTATTTAATAGAGATGGCCCTGTGCCAAATGCAATCTATCTCTATAGCAACTGTTTGTTGGTGCAGGTTGAGCTAGATCTTTAAATCAGCTTTCCCCCAAAGCCTATAGTTCAGTACATAATCTGTTCCATTATATAAACTTACAGAAGTAATATAGAAGTAATTAGTTGCCATTATTCAAACATTTTATTTGCATTTAATCCAAATTGATATTTGTAAATCAGCACTTTTATTAGCTGAAATACTTTCAATGGTAATAATTGTAAGAGTTTGAAATGAATGTAATTGAATTATTTAGGTTTGAATTTTAGTTTATTTATGTCGTCCTATGTAACTCAACTTTCTTTTTAAGGTATTTCCACGTGTTAAGAAATGTTAATGGCTTCTTGGTCCTATTTTTTTAATTTCTGGGAATAACCTTGAATTAGAAAAGGAGGTACACTGTTATATCAGCTTTAGAGATGTAGCTGTTTGTAATATCTCTTTTGATAAAAAACGTGAGATTATCACTTGAGAAAATCTCAATGTCATTATCTCCAAGTAACTGCATGATTTTTGTCACATTTCCACAGTGTGCACTTGCTCCTTTGCAAATACCAGTAAAATTTCCATTTTATTTTATAGTTATAGTCATTTTATGACTTTTTGCACATTCGAAATATATGTGTTTTAAGCTTCTAATGACACACCCATGTCAAATGGAAGTAATTAAGAGTATTTTCTTTCTGAAAGATGATTCTAATTTACTTCAAATTTTGAAGTGCTATCAGTGATCTCCACAGGCTTTTTTCTCAAGTGGGTGCAAAACTCTCATTTCAGACCAAAATGTGCCCATTTTCATGATTTTTCTCATTTTCAAGTGGGTGCAAATGGATTTTCAGCCGGGTACATGCCTATTTTTAAAATCTTAGGTGGGTGCTCGCCCACTTGTTTTAATGCTGGGGAGATCACCGGCTATTATTCTTGAAGCCTTGTTATTTTACTAATTACAGTCCTTACCACAAATTTTAAGAGGCAAACATTATGATTCTATCACCTATACTATATATTATGATCCATACTGTCTATATATTTTATTTCAGGGAACACAATTAGTAATGTGTCTTTGATTCTACCACCCATACCATATAATATTATATTTTTCAGGGAACACAATCAGCAATGTGTCTTTGATTCTACCACCCATAAAATATAATATTATTTTTCAGGGAACACAATCAGCAATGTGTCTTTGATTCTACCACCCATACAATATAATATTATTTTTCAGGTAACACAATCAGCAATGTGTCTTTGATTCTACCACCCATACAATATAATATTATTTTTCAGGGAACACAATCAGCAATGTGTCTTTGATTCTACCACCCATACAATATAATATTATTTTTCAGGTAACACAATCAGTAATGTGTCTTTGATTCTACCACCCATATGATATAATATTATTTTTCAGGGAACACAATCAGCAATGTGTCTTTGATTCTACCACCCATACTATATTATATATTTCAGGGAACACAATCAGTAATGTATCTTTGATTCTACCACCCATACTATATTATATTAAATTTCAGGGAACACAACCAGTAGTGTATCTATGATTCTACCACCCATACTATATAGTAGTAATACCATATACATTTTTTTTCAGGGAACACAATCAGCAATGTATCTATGATTTTACCACCCATACTATATAACATTATATTTCAGGGAACACAATCAGCAATGTGTCTATGATTCTACCACCCATACTACATTATATTATATTTCAGGGAACACAATCAGCAATGTGTCTATGATTCTACCACCCATACTACATTATATTATATTTCAGGGAACACAATCAGCAATGTGTCTATGATTCTACCACCCATACTACATTATATTATATTTCAGGGAACACAATCAGCAATGTGTCCATGATTCTACCACCCATACTATATAATATTATATTTCAGGGAACACAATCAGCAATGTATCTATGATTCTACCACCCATACCATTTAATATTATATTTCAGGGAACACAATCAGCAATGTATCTATGATTCTACCACCCATACTATATTATATTATATTTCAGGGAACACAATCAGCAATGTATCTATGATTCTACCACCCATAATGGGTGCTGTGTTTGCCTGGTTGGATGGGCTGGAGGCTAAAATCTTCTGGAGTCATATATCTCTACTATGTAAGTATTACAATTCTTCATTTTAATGCTAAAATGCTCTGGAGTAGTAATAGATGGGAACGGGAAGTGGTTATGAATGAGGGCCTACTAACATATCTTATGTCACCACCACAAATGGTGATATATTAGTCTCTCAACATTTTTGTGGACAGTTTTAGGCAGTCAGCATTTAGCATTCATTGGATGGCTTTCTGCATTTGTTGTTCAGTGGTTGGTGTTTTGTGTTTGTAACAAATAGCATGTGGTGCCATTTTGCTCATCAGTCTTGTTGGCAGGCCCGTAGCCAGGGGGGTTCAATGGGTTTGAGCGAACCCTCCCCCCTGGCCAGTTTTTCGCCATTCTGAACATTTTTGAAGTGATTTTGGCCATTTTTGGACAAAAATTGTCAAAAGTGAACCCCCCTTGAAATTGCCAAAAAGTGAGCCCCCTTTGTAAATCCTGGCTATGGGCCTGCTTGTTGGTATAGTTGTATTAGGGAATTGCTTCATGTTTAAATTATTGTATGATAGATGGGTTATCATTGTAATTGTTAATGAGTACATTTAACAAGGAACATTTTCGACCATATTTGCTCGTGTAACTCTTAAACCATCAAAAAATATTTTGATTCAATATGAACATTAATAACACTCTACCCCCATTTTGGGATCCAAAACAATATCAAACATAAGAAAAAGAGGAACCTTTAGATGAGTCAGAATATGTTGCCCTTAGTTAATTGCTATGTTAAATCCCCATTCCCTTTCCTCTTTATTAATTTAACTTCCCTCAAAAATATTAACATTTTGCCCTGCTATGATATTCTCAAAGGGAATGCATAAGATTGATGTTGGAAGTGAAACAGACAGACAGATATGAATTTTTAATGGCTGTCTGTCTCTCTCCTTTAGGTTTCATTATGTGAATAACATAGTTTAATGTGGGTAATCTTTTTACTTAATTGCTGTGTATCCAATCTAATTACCAATATATCATTGTATCTGACAAATGTATAAGTTAGGATGAAGTACTGTACAAGTGTGCATGCATCACTTTATATTTAGGATGTAGTACTGTACAAGTGTGCATGCAGTACTGTATAAGTATGCATGCAGTGCTATAGAAGTATATGCATGCAGTACTGAAGTATTGTATAAGTGAAGCATGAAGTATCGTATAAGTATGCATGCAGTATTGTATAAATATATGCATGCAGTACTGTATAAGTCTGCATGTAGTACAGTACAAAGGTGCTTGTAATACTGTGTAAATGTGCATGCAGTACTGTATAAGTATGCATGCAGTGCTATAGAAGTATATGCATGCAGTACTGAAGTATCGTATAAGTGAAGCATGAAGTATTGTATAAGTATGCATGCAGTATTGTATAAATACATGCATGCAATACTGCATAAGTCTGCATGTAGTACAGTACAAAGGTGCTTATAATACTGTATAAATGTGCATGCAGTACTGTATAAATGTGCATGCAGTACTGAATAAGTATGCATGCAGTATTGTACAGGTGTTCAAGTAGTACTGTATAAAGATGCACATAGTACTGTATAAACTTGTGTTAAATATCATATCTGGAAGAGATTGATTCTTCAAGCCCCTTAAATTGATGGACAAAGTTAAATGTTTAAAAGAGTCATTGTAGAAAGCATATCAATGTTTCTTTTGCAATCTTATTTTCTAAAAAATAATTCAAGTATAAAAATTATCAAAGATTTAAGATTCATTAATGTGCAAATCCATTAGAATTAGAGAATGTCCCATTTTAAAAGCTATGCAGATCGCCTTGAAATCCAAGGATTTTTCAGAACTGTTTGACTTTTACCTCTATATATAGGTTAGAAAATAATTAATCATCTCCTTCTTTTCAATGAGAAATAATTTATATGATTTTAGATTTACTTCATTGAATATAGTAAAATATGTGCAGTGTGAGCATACCATTAAGAGCATAACATGTGAACACATTTTCCTAAATGTAATTTGCAAGTATCTAATCTTAGAGTACCTCAGTACATGCATATACAGGGTGGGCCAAAAAAACACCACTTTTTTTCAAAATGCTATAACTTTTTTAATTTTTGATAATAAATCATAATTTGCATACCAAATGAATCTTGAGGTTGTTATCTAGCCATTGATCATGAATTATACACTTTTACTTGAATAAAATATGTCACCAGCGTCTCACTTAAACATGTGGTGTGCCATGAGAAATAAGCATAATTTGCAAAATGTTCCTGAACTGATACGGCCTGATGATCGCCAAGCTAATAGCCCTGATGCAAATCCCAGTGAGTATAGGGTATGGGAAGGTCTCCAGGAGATTGTATGAAGGCACCCAATCTAAAAAATTGCTCAACTAAAGCAGGCAATTAAGACAGGTTGAAAAAAACTAAGCTAACATTTAATTGATACTGCAATATCAGCAAGGCGACTAGAACTGAAATTTATCATCAATTAGGTTGGCGGACCAATTGAACTCCCCTTTTAGATCAAATATAATCCAAGTTGAAGGACTTGTTACATTATATTATTACTAAGAACCCTTGGCACTATATAACTGCAAACTTTGGGGTATGTGACATACTGTTATATTGTCTCCAACTTTTTTGTGGATAGCAGTCGGTGTTTGGCAGTCAGTGTTTGGCAGTTAGTGTTTGGCATTCAGTGTCTGTAACAAATGTTAATGCCTTGTTTATTATCAACGGTTAATGTCATTGTTACACTTCAAGTTTTGACATTATGTGATGTTCATACCTTGTTTTATATTGTTTATAGGTGTTGGTTTGGGATCCTGGTGTTTTCATATGACCCTTCTGTACAGTGGGCAGGTAAGTCAAATACTTAACATTTAAGTTTTAACCTAAGTTAAATGAATTAGAATGGGAAAATACTTAACATTAAGTTTTAACCTAAGTTAAATGAATTAGAATGGGAAAATACTTAACATTAAAGTTTTAACCTAAGATAAATGAATTAGAATGGGAAAATACTTAACATTAAGTTTTTACCTAAGTTAAATGAATTAGAATGGGAAAATACTTAACATTAAGTTTTAACCTAAGTTAAATGAATTAGAATGGGAAAATACTTAACATTAAGTTTTAACCTAAGTTAAATGAATTAGAATGGGAAAATACTTAACATTAAGTTTTAACCTAAGTTAAATGAATTAGAATGGGAAAATACTTAACATTAAGTTTTTACCTAAGTTAAATGAATTAGAATGGGAAAATACTTAACATTAAGTTTTAACCTAAGTTAAATGAATTAGAATGGGAAAATACTTAACATTAAAGTTTTAACCTAAGATAAATGAATTAGAATGGGAAAATACTTAACATTAAGTTTTAACCTAAGTTAAATGAATTAGAATGGGAAAATACTTAACATTAAAGTTTTAACCTAAGATAAATGAATTAGAATGGGAAAATACTTAACATTAAGTTTTAACCTAAGTTAAATGAATTAGAATGGGGAAATACTTAACATTAAAGTTTTAACCTAAGATAAATGAATTAGAATGGGAAAATACTTAACATTAAAGTTTTAACCTAAGATAAATGAATTAGAATGGGAAAATACTTAACATTAAAGTTTTAACCTAAGATAAATGAATTAGAATGGGGAAATACTGCAGTGTTGAAAGCATTTTCTCAAAGATGATACCAATATTTCCCTTATGTACAATCATAGATTTTATGTCACCACCCCATGTGGTGAGTGGTGACATTTTGTTATTATCCCAACGAACGAAGTTCGGTAGGGATATAGTGAAGCGTGAAGCCCTCCGTCCGTCAGTCCGTCAGTCCGTCATTCTAAACCAAAGTAATAAATATTATTGTTTGACATTTTGGTAGTATATTCGCAACATCTATCTATTTCACATATGTTCCGTGTTTTTTATCCTGACCCCAGGGGCCGTGTATGGGGGGTCAGGAAAACAGAAATTTTCACTGATTTTTAGATCTTTCTGAAGTATAGCTTTATTATACTCAAATGAAAGGCAATTAATAGTAGATTGCAAATATTGTATCTTTTTTCTGATTCAAGCCTCGTAAAATTCAAAATGGCCGTCTAATTTTAGATTTCGCAATAATTTTTTGATCCCTTCAACGTATAGCTATATAATACTCAAATTGAAGGAATTTTGGAGTAGATCACTATTATGGTATTATTTTTCAGATTTGTACCTCAGAAAATTCAAAATGGCTGCTTTGCAGGAGTTCGCAATTCTAAAATCTAAATTTTTCAACCAAAGTAATGAGTATAATTGATTGTAATTCGGTAATTGATATTTTGTTCGTTGGGATTTGCTACTCCGCGGAGTTGCCATTATTTAATTTGCAGTCCCCTTCTCAATTTTACTTGCCAGGTAACCACGGTGATTAAAAAACTGTTCTGGAATAAAATAAGACCTGTGCTTTGAATAATTGCTTTTTCAAAATTTCTTACAATTTTAGAAATCCAGGGTCATTTTAAAAACATCCTTTTGAGCAGACCAACAGGAATTTATACTCCTGTTTAATGATTTAATGTAATACTGTAGACAGTAAAGGTAATAATTCAAACTTATTTTTAGGCCTTTTGCAATTTTAGTTTACCAGTGATATAAAAATATACAATAAAATATATCAGCGCATCATTTTTATTACTTTTTTATTCAACTTGGCCAGGCGGAATAAATAGTAAATAACAACAAAGTTCACCTGGTAAAAATAAACATGCAAGTTTGCACATATTGGATTTTTATTTAGTTTTATTTGTTTAAACAAAATAGTTTGCCAATTACACAGCAATATGTAAACTTTAAACTGACCAATTTTGAGAAATCCTGAATCCAAATCTGGTCAATATGTTCAATAAGATTCGTTTTTCCAAAATTTTGAATTTGTTTAGAATTGAAGCAAGATGGTGCAGTTTTGAAAGTGCGTTTATTTTTACATGAACATTCACATGTATATAACTTTTTCGTGGATTTTGATTGGTGTTTGGTATTTGATATTTGGCTATTAGTGTGCAGCTTTCTGCGGTTGGAATTAGTAACAAATGGCAGGTGGTGACATTTTGCAGGTTAATGCCCTGTGCAACATTGTGCAACAATGAAATAAAAAGTAAAATTATTAATCATTATATCACATGTACAATTTATGAAATGGACCGTTATTAATCATTATATCTCATGTACAATTCATGAAATGGACCACCATAGACTAAAATAGCAAAAATAACATTGTTTATCAGAATGAATGTGTTTCCGTGGAAGCTTGTGAGTATGAAAAAGTGCTGCACTTAGAATTGATATTTTAGGCAAGCATTATCATTTATCTCTCTTATCAAGGTACGTGGAGGAAGGATGAATCTAGGGTAACATTTTGAAAGATTGTTCCAATTTTGAGACTTGAGAAAAGTTTTATGATGTCATCACCAGAAGTGGTGACATATTTTTATAGTCTCCAATTTTTTGTGGATGGTGTTTGGAAGTTGGCATTTGTTTTTAGGGGGTTGGTGTCTGTTTCAAGTTCTTACAACTTTTTGAACAAGTACTGTTTATGGACTGATATTTGAACTGTAAACATATATAAACATGTTATGATTCACAACGCAATTCTTCCAAATCTGTTAACATGACAAAAAAAATAAGTAAACTTGTAACATTTTGTAACAATTTTTAACCATTTAAATTAGCAATAACTTACAATGGTGACATTTTGTCCTCGCAAAAACATTTATGGGGATCTTATACCCTATTCCTGTCTGGCCATGCAGACCAGCCGGAATTTACCACTGAAGTTATATAACCATTTCCCAGGGATTGAATTGGCATTTCATTTTCCTCTTCAAGTCATAATTCTCCTACCTTGTTTCAGAATTTGTATCACCTTCTTAAAGAACAAGCAATTGATAAGAATGATTAGACGAAGTAGTGAATAAGTGCACACTCCAGAAATGTTAAAACACGACCTATATATGACAAACCTTGGCCTATTTAATTGATAAATGGTTTACAAATCAGTTTCTCCCCAGAATTTTTTCTCAAGTGGGTGAAAATACCAATTTTCACAATTTTGACTGAAATTGGTCAAAATATGCCCATTTTTATCACACCATCGGTGGGATATAGTCGTCATACTGGTCGTGATCGTGGTCGTGATCGTGGTCGTGGTCGTGATCGTGATCGTGATCGTCCCGCTTTTCGTCATCGCCGTTTAAGGAAAACTGCTCATCAGATTTTCTCCAAATTCGCAGAGATGATAGAGCATATGAAGTACTAGAGCTGATTAACTTTTGGGTGGCCATCTTGTTTTCTGGCGGCCATTTTGAAGGTTTTTCGAAAAATCTTGTCATCGCCATTTCAGGAAAACCGCTCATCGGATTTCCTTCAAATTTACACAAATGATAGAGGATATCAAGTTCTAGAGCTGATTAACTTTTGGGTGGCCATCTTGTTTTCTGGCAGCCATTTTGAAGATTTTTCGAAAAATCTTGTCATCGCCATTTCAGAAAATCCGCTCATTGGATTTACTTCAAATTTACACACATGATAGAGGATATCAAGTACTAGAGCTGATTAACTTTTGGGCGGCCATCTTGTTTTCTGATGGCCATTTTGAAGGTTTTTCGAAAAATCTTGTCATCGCCATTTCAGGAAAACCGCTCATCGGATTTCCTTCAAAATTACACAAATGATAGAGGATATCAAGTACTAGAGCTGATTAACTTTTGGGCGGCCATCTTGTTTTCTGGCAGCCATTTTGAAGATTTTTCGAAAAATCTTGTCATCGCCATTTCAGAAAATCCGCTCATCGGATTTCCTTCAAATTTACACACATGATAGAGGATATCAAGTACTAGAGCTGATTAACTTTTGGGCGGCCATCTTGTTTTCTGGTGGCCATTTTGAAGGTTTTTCGAAAAATCTTGTCATCGCCATTTCAGGAAAACCGCTCATCGGATTTCCTTCAAATTTACACAAATGATAGAGGATATCAAGTACTAGAGCTGATTAACTTTTGGGTGGCCATCTTGTTTTCTTGTTCTTGAAATTTGTAAACATAATAGGAGAACAGTGTTCCTGGTTCATAGTGTCTGCCTATTTGATGGTGTGATCTCGTTCACGTCCTGTGCCTTGTTCATAATTTTTCTCATTTTCAAGTGGGTGCAAATGGATTTTCAGATGGGTGCAGACTTGTTTTTTAAATCTCATGTGGGTGCTTGCTTTTATGCTGGGGAGATCACTGCAAATATAGAACAGATAAATCCTACAACTGAAAGTGATTTATATAGCAGTCCACTTTGGTATGTTGCTTGAAGAGAAGAGGGGAAATGTGAATTATAAATTACTCTTTATTGTAGCTTTGAAGGGTTTAGTAGGTTCTGGTATGTTTAAAAGGTTTACTTATGAGTGTAATTTATATGCTGGTAAATTGTGTCTAGAGTGCACATCATTTCATACAATTATAAAGGGACCACCTCAGTATCATTTTCGAACCCATAAACCTGCATATACAATGTAGTACTTGGTACATGGATATCTGATGATGCACTACCTAACACCCACTATGATTTTTATGTCACCACCAAAAGTGGTGACATATTGTTATGGTCTCCGTTTTTTTTATGTCACCACCAAAAGTGGTGACATATTGTTATGGTCTCCGTTTTTTTTGCGACGGCGGTTGGCGTCCGGCGTCCGGCGGTTGGTGGTTGGCGTCCGGCGTCTGTAACAATTTCTTACAACTTCCTATAACTTAACAAACACTGTTTAGACTGACTTCAATTTTTTTCTAAATCATCTACATGTTCTCAGAAGTTCAAATCTGACTTTAGATTTGACATTTGACCTTCAATGACCTTCTCAAGGTCAAAAAGGTCTTTTTTCAACTTGCTTCACATTGACTAAATTTTTTTTCAAAATCATCTACATGTTCTCAGAAATTCAAATCTGACTTTAGATTTGACTTTAGATTTGACATTTGACCTTCAAATCTGACTTTAGATTTGACATTTGACCTTCAATGACCTTCTCAAGGTCAAAAAAGGTCAAAAAGGTCTGTTTTCAACTTGCTTCAAATTGACTAATTTTTTTTTCAAAATCATCTATGTGTTCTCAGAAATTCAAATCTGACTTTAGATTTGACTTAAGATTTGACATTTGACCTTCAATGACCTTCTCAAAATCAAAAAAGGTCAAAAAGGTCTTTTTTCAACTTGCTTCAAATTGACTAAATTTTTTTTTCAAAATCATCTACATGTTCTCAGAAATTCAAATCTGACTTTAGATTTGACATTTGACCTTCAATGACCTTCTCAAGGTCAAAAAAGGTCAAAAAGGTCTGTTTTCAACTTGCTTCAAATTGACTAAAATTTTTTTTAAAAATCATCTACGTGTTCTCAGAAATTCAAATCTGACTTTAGATTTGACTTAAGATTTGACATTTGACCTTCAATGACCTTCTCAAAGTCAAAAAAGGTCAAAAAGGTCTTTTTTCAAATTGCTTCTAATTGACTAAATTTTTTTTTCAAAATCATCTACATGTTCTCAGAAATTCAAATCTGACTTTAGATTTGACATTTGACCTTCAATGATCTTCTCAATGTCAAAAAAGGTCAAAAAGGTCTTTTTTCATCTTGCTTCAAATTGACTAAATTTTTTTTTCAAAATCATCTACATGTTCTCAGAAATTCAAATATGACTTTAGTTTTGACTTTAGATTTGACATTTGACCTTCAATGTCCTTCTCAAGGTCAAAAAAGGTCAAAAAGGTCTTTTTTCAACTTGCTTCAAATTGACTAATTTTTTTTTCAAAATCATCTACATGTTCTCAGAAATTCAAATTTGACGTTTACAAGTTCTCAGAAGTTCAAATCTGACTTTAGATTTGACCTTTGACCTTCAATGACCTTCTCAAGGTCAAAAAGGTCTTTTTTCAACTTGCTTCAAATTGACTAATTCTTTTTTCAAAATCATCTACATGTTCTCAGAAGTTCAAATCTGACTTTAGATTTGACATTTGACCTTCAATGACCTTTTCAAGGTCAAAAAGGTCTTTTTTCAACTTGCTTCAAATTTACTTAATTTTTTTTTTCAAAATCATCTACATGTTCTCAGAAGTTCAAATCTGACTTTACATTTGACCTTCAATGACCTTCTCAATGTCAAAAAAAGTCAAAGAGGTATTTTTTCAACTTGCTTCAAATTGAAGAATTTTTTTTTCAAAATCATCTACATGTTTTAAGAAGTTCAAATCAAACCTTCTTAAGGTCAAAAGGTATTTTCCAACTTTTTTTAAATTGACCAAATTATTTTAGGTGGTGACATTTTGTCATGTTAATGCCTTGTTCAATTTTGATAATGATGGTAATTTTTGAGATCTTGGCATTTCAAGGGGAGTTTGAATTTAACAATTATAATGGTACAGAATTTAGCCAAAAAGCCCATCAAATGTATTATAACTCCTATATTTTTCATTGATGGCACAGAATAAAGCCAAAAAGCCCACCAAGTATATTTTATTGAATGCATGTTCAGTGTATATTTCATTGATGTTTTATATTTTCTAGTTGCTTGACGAGCTTCCAATGATCTGGGGAACATCAACTCTTATATATGCAATGTAAGTAAATTTGCCTCATGTGTTTAGATTTGCTTCACCTAGCATAAATTTGCCTCACTTATTTCAACATGCCTCAAATATTTGAATTTGCCTCACCCATTTTTCTTATTCATAACATTTGCCTCATCAAAATTGTACACAATATTATTTAAACTGAATTATGAAAATGAGGTCCAGTGGTTTGTATTATATTCACTTTAGCTTAAAGCCTCACCCATTTCAAGTTGCCTCACCTATTTGAATTTGCCTCACCTATTTCAAGTTGTCTCACCCATTCCATGTTGCCTCACCCATTTCATGTTGCCTCACCTATTTCAAGTTGCCCCACCTATTTCAAGTAGCCTCACCTATTTCAAGTTGCCTCACCTATTTCAAGTTGTCTCACCTATTTCAAGTTGCCTCACCGATTTCAAGTTGCCTCACCTATTTCAAGTTACCCCACCTATTTCAAGTTGCCTCACCTATTTCAAGTTGCCTCAATCATTTCAAGTTGCCTCACCTATTTCAAGTTGCCTCACCCATTTCAAGTTGTCTCACCTTTTTCAAGTTGCCTCACCCATTTCAAGTTGCCTCATCTATTTCAAGTTGCCTCAATCATTTCAAGTTGCCTCACCTATTTCAAGTTGCCTCACCCATTTAAAGTTGTCTCACCTATTTCAAGTTGCCTCACCCATTTCAAGTTGCCTCACCCATTTCAACTTGCCTCACCTATTTCAAGATGCCTCACCTATTTCAAGTTGCCTCACCTATTTCAAGATGCCTCACCTATTTCAAGTTGCCTCACCTATTTCAAGATGCCTCACCTATTTCAAGCTGCCTCACCTATTTCAAGTTGTCTCACCTATTTCAAGATGCCTCACCTATTTCAAGTTGCCTCACCTATTTCAAGATGCCTCACCTATTTCAAGTTGCCTCACCTATTTCAAGTTGCCTCACCTATTTCAAGTTGCCTCACCCATTTAAAGTTGTCTCACCTATTTCAAGTTGCCTCACCCATTTCAAGTTGCCTCATCTATTTCAAGTTGCCTCAATCATTTCAAGTTGCCTCACCTATTTCAAGTTGCCTCACCCATTTCAAGTTTTCTCACCCATTTCAAGTTGACTCACATATTTCAAGTTGCCTCAATCATTTCAAGTTGCCTCACCTATTTCAAGTTGCCTCACCCATTTCAAGTTAAATCACCCATTTCAAGTTGACTCACCTATTTCAAGTTACCTCACCAATTTCAAGTTGCCTCACTATTACATAGCTATGCCCTTGGCATATGTACATGTTCTTATTCATTTGCTTATTTGATTATAACTTAAGTCATATGTCAAGCTCCTGTGTGCCCCTCCCCCTTCCCTTAAACATTACAATGATTAAACCACTGGAGTTAAAACTGCTTGAGAGCATTTCAAGGGATGGTGTTGGCTGTGGATCTCAGAATGCTAGAGTTAACATTAAGAGATTTTTAGATGATTTTAATATGTCTTTTTTTTACTTGTATTCACAGTGTATTGTATTATTAGACTCAAAATGTCCCCAAGGTTATTATTTTATAAAGGAAAATTAAGAAAAGCTTTCCTGAAAAAAACACACAAAAAACTATTCATTATTACACTTTAATAAAATCACCAGGAAATAATACTATTCATAACTTATAATTCTTTGTTATCAAAAGTGGTGTTCCTTCATTATGGTGATTTCTGAGTACCATATATTTCAACATTTCAATATAAGGATACACAAATACAGAATCTTTCCTTGATGAACTTCATTCAAGGAAGGAATTTTTATGATTTCCTCCTATTACTCACACAATAAAGCCTAAATAGATAGTGTTAGTCTTTGTACCCCTCTCTCCTCACCCTTGTGTAGAAGTTGTGTAAAAAATGTGTGATTAATTAATGACCAAAATTGTGTAAGACACAAATTACATGAGGTACATGTATGATTTGTATAAGCATTCTTAAAGAGGTAATTAGCGACTAATTAGTGACAGACCCCTTCCTCCAATTAGAAACTATGGTCAGATTTTAACAAATATCTTATTTTCATAATTCACAAAATATGGTTTATTATAACTATAGTACTGTATAGTAAGTATTAATATAATATTAATGCTTGATATTAAAAAGATAAAGAGTCCAAAGGTCTATTATAATGAACGAATTGAACAAATCAGCTGTATATACAGGGTACGTAGCTACCCCGAATCCTAGCTTCTGACTTCTACAAAATATTTTAGTTTTAAGATCTTATGAAAGTAAAAGTAAAAAAAGAAGAAACGAACAGCCCAGGCTGATGAAAATTCCCGATCATTATAGGGACCAATACGTTAATATTGTTTGAAATTATGACAAAGAATGAACATGAATGTTAAATAATGCCTAAATTGCCCAATTTATGTGCGGAACAAGACTTTGGGCTCTAGAATTTTTTGGGCCTCAGTTTTTCTCTGGGCACACTAACGAAGAGGGGGGGGGAGTAGCCAGGGTCCTACCCTCCCCCTTATCCATCACTGAATGTACAGTAAAATAAGACCCTTTTCTCCCCCTATTCTGGTATGTTGTACTGTCAATTTGATATAATTTAGCTTAGTATACATACTCTGAATATATGATATACATTCATACCACCTTCTGGATAATTGTATTTACTTGTATTTTGATGATACATCATGTTGCTAGGTTATTACAGTATTACATGCATGGCTCCTACCTAATAAGGGCTCCCAATGGGGAAACATAAATGACTTAATGATATTCAGTTTTATACCACCTTCTTCATTTTACCCCACTCTCAGCAGGCCTGTAGCCAGGATCTGCCAAGGGGGGGGGGGTCACTTTTGACAACTTTGGCCCAGATATGGCTAAAATCACTTGAGAAGTGGTCAAAATGCTGAAAAACTGCATGATTCTGAAAGAATTTTTGGCCAGGGGGGGTTCGCAGGGTTAGGGCTACGGGCCTGCTCAGTGCCAATCTCTTCCTTGCAGGGAGGATATAATCAGAGGGAGAGGGGAACAGGAGAGGGGGGAGGGGGGTGGGCAGGGTCCTGGTATAACAAAACAGAAACTGGCATTTTGATACAGTCCAAAAACAGGGACAGCGAAAAGTTGATTAACTCAGTCAATCTTGCGACCCCGCGTGCAGAGTCTAGTTAAACTACAGGACGAAGCTCTCTTTTAAGAAGTGAAGTCAAGCGAATGCAAAGGATACAATCTTGCATATTCTGCCTTGAGATTTCAGAATTCTTTAGTTCATTCAATGTTGATTTTGTCATGAAAGTTTGATGAAAATTTGCCTAGTATGGATTCAAAAACTGCAGTATCTTACAAAAACATGCTTCAAGTGGGCACTTCAAATGTGCCTACCCTGTATATCAGTTTAGGTTTTGATAAATGTGACTAGAGTGATCTGGTTGTAACCCTTGGGTGCCTACCCTGTATATCAGTTTTAGGTTTTGATAAATGTGACTAAAGTGATCGGGTTGTAACCCTTGGGTGCCTACCCTGTATATCAGTTTTAGGTTTTGATAAATGTGACTAAAGTGATCGGGTTGTAACCCTTGGGTGCCTACCCTGTATATCAGTTTAGGTTTTGATATATGTGACTAAAGTGATCGGGTTGTAACCCTTGGGTGCCTACCCTGTATATCAGTTTAGGTTTTGATATATGTGACTAAAGTGATCTGGTTGTAACCCTTGGGTGCCTACCCTGTATATCAGTTTAGGTTTTGATATATGTGACTAAAGTGATCTGGTTGTAACCCTTGGGTGCCTACCCTGTATATCAGTTTAGGTTTTGATATATGTGACTAAAGTGATCTGGTTGTAACCCTTGGGTGCCTACCCTGTATATCAGTTTAGGTTTTGATAAATGTGACTAAAGTGATCTGGTTGTAACCCTTGGGTGCCTACCCTGTATATCAGTTTAGGTTTTGATAAATGTGACTAAAGTGATCTGGTTGTAACCCGTGGGTGCCTACCCTGTATATCAGTTTTAGGTTTTGATAAATGTGACTAAAGTGATCTGGTTGTAACCCTTGGGTGCCTACCCTGTATATCAGTTTAGGTTTTGATATATGTGACTAAAGTGATCTGGTTGTAACCCTTGGGTGCCTACCCTGTATATCAGTTTAGGTTTTGATAAATGTGACTAAAGTGATCTGGTTGTAACCCTTGGGTGCCTACCCTGTATATCAGTTTTAGGTTTTGATAAATGTGACTAAAGTGATTGGGTTGTAACCCTTGGGTGCCTACCCTGTATATCAGTTTTAGGTTTTGATAAATGTGACTAAAGTGATCGGGTTGTAACCCTTGGGTGCCTACCCTGTATATCAGTTTAGGTTTTGATATATGTGACTAAAGTGATCTGGTTGTAACCCTTGGGTGCCTACCCTGTATATCAGTTTTAGGTTTTGATAAATGTGACTTAAGTGATCTGGTTGTAACCCTTGGGTGCCTACCCTGTATATCAGTTTTAGGTTTTGATAAATGTGACTAAAGTGATCTGGTTGTAACCCTTGGGTGCCTCACATATATCACCATGGACGCTTATCAGTTATCAGTTCATCAAATGAAATATTTATTTAACTGATTTTCTGAAGAGGCTCAATATGCTTATACCTGGCACTATCAACTAACCCTTGCAAATAATGTACAATATGAGGCACTGTTTGATAACCCTTGCAGATAATGTATGATAGGCACTGTTTGTAAACCCTTGCAGATAATGTACAATAGGCACTGTTTGTAAACCCTTGCAGATCATGTACAATAGGCACTGTTTGTAAACCCTTACAGATAATGTATAATAGGCACTTTTGGATGACCCTTACAAATAATTTGGATCTTCTTTGACTGTCTCTTAGTAAAATCCGAAGGGCCAGAATATAAAAAATGTTAAATGAAAACAATATAATGAACTAAAAATATGTTAAAAGACATGTCCAATTACTTGATTCAAAGTTTTATTTATTCATAGAAGTCCATGATTTGCATCCTCCGATCACAGGGCTCCAAAAATCCAGAATATATTATTTCTTCTTACCCCCTGCGATAAGCAGTTAGCATTTTCCCGATTAAGAACTCGCAATCTGATTGGCTGTCGCAACACTGCAACAGAAATCATGTATAAGTCACTGCGCATAATTAGATCACGTGATTCAGTTTAATCGGGCACTTCCAAATTGGTTATAGCAGGGGGAAGAAGGAGGTACGGATTCTGGATACCTGCTTAGGAGGATGATGATTTGTTATGATTTGTTTCAGAAGAGAGTGGGGAAAGAAGCAACACAAGTTTTATCCAATTGTTTTCATTTGTTTTAGGTATCAGGTTAACAGCCCCCCTGGTCACACCCACTATAAGCTTATTATTGGACTCTTCCTTTACTGTGTAGCAGTAACTGCGGTATGTATACTAGATTGATAATACTCCAGTAAAACCTGTCTTAGTGAACACCTGTCTCCAGTAAACACCTGCGTTCAGTAAACACCACTTCAAGACACATTTTACCTTGACACCTGTATACAATCCCCATTTTGTCATAGGTGATTACTTTATACAGGTTTTACTGCATACATGGTGTTAAATCAATATGTTCTCCCTTTAATTTCAAAAGTATGACCCTCTGTGCATAAAAGTCCATCTAGTTGAGCAACAGTCATCTGAAACTTCTTGAAGAGTAAATGCTCCATGAAGCTTAGTTTGAATGTGCCCCAAAGAACAATTCAGATATATTGCACACAGGAAATTTATAAGACATTATTTTGATGTTAAACCTAAGGGGAGAACATATTTATTTGACACCCTGTAGATGCCTTTATTTTTATTGACATTATTTTGCTCACATAGCATTTTTTCTGATTAATCTACTGATCATACTCAACTAGATTTATTTTCACCAATTTCAAAAGCGATAAAGTGTTCATGTTTTCAAGTCCTTACATACAGTTTAGGTACCTCTGTATGTATTTTATAAATTATCCTTATATGATCCGGATACATCATGATCTACTTTAAGTTATTCAACATAAGATTATCTTTATATGATAGGTTACATCATGATATTATATGATCTTAGGACTTTTAAAGCAACCTGTAAGTGCTAAGTTATTCAACCATTGATTATTAATGCCAGGGCCGTCAGATGGGGGGGGGGGTGCGATGGGTGCGACCGCGTCCCCCTTTGTCACCCCCCAAAATAAATTTGAAAAAAAAATATTTTTTTTGTAATTTTTTTTCATTGACTCATACACTTTGAAAGTACCCAGAAAGCACCAAATAGCATCTGAAAATTGTAAAATTTTCTAGGGGTATTGGCCACCCCTCACACTTCCCCACAAAACAATGGAAAAGTTCTAAATTTATTTTAGTGTTTTGTCTCAGACACTTTTAAAGTGCCCAGACATCATCAAATAGCTCCTTAATATACACTGTAGTTAGTATTTCTGGGGGACTTGCTCCCCCTCTTGCATCTTGCACTTGCATAACCCCCTCCCCCCTCCAAAAAAAAAAAGTGATTTTCTCAAATTCTTTAATTGACTCATACACTTTGAAAGTGCCGAGAAAGCACCAAATAGCGTCGTAAAATTGTAAAATTTTCTAGGGGGAGTGGGCCACCCCTCACACCCCAAACAAAACAATGGAAAAGTTCTGAATTTGTTTTATGTATTGTCTCAGACACTTTTAAATTACCCAGACATCATCAAATAGCTCCTTGATAACGTTAATGATTCCGGAAGTCTAACACTTACTCGCCCTCTGGCATCCCCACTCCACCTCCCCCTCTGGCAGCCCCACCCCCCTTAACACCCCCCCCCCAAAAAAAATTGAGATTTTTCAAAATTTCTTATTGACTCATACCCTTTAGAAGTGCCCATAAAGCACCAAATAGCATCTAAAAATTGTAAAATTTTCTTGGGAAATAGGCACAGACACTTTTAAAGTGCCCAAACTTCATCGAATAGCACCTTGCTATTGTAAATTTTGATATGGGGGACAAACACTTGCTCCCCCTCTGGCACCCCAGCCCCACCTCTCCCTCTGGCATCCCTCCCCCCCCTTTGACACCCCCAAAATTTGAAAAAAATTGTGATTGTTTTTAAATGTTTTTATTGACTAATACACTTTAAAAGTGCCTAGAAGCACAAAAATATCATCTTTAAATTGTGAAATTTTCTAGGAGAGTTAGCCACCCCTCACATCCCCCACAAAACAAAAGAAAATATTCTGAATTTCATGTAATGTCTCAGACATTTTTTAAGTGCCCAGACATCATTAAATAGCACCTTGATATGGTCAATGTTTCTGGCGGACAACCCCTTGCTCCCCTACTGGCACCCCACCCCACTTCACACTCTCATCCTCTTTGACACCCCCAAAAGAATTTGAAAAAAAAATCACATTTTTCTTATTGACTCATAACGCACAGGTGTACCAGATGGTTGCAAATTCGCTCCAAATACAACCAAATTTCAAAATTTTCCTGGGGGAGAACCCCCAGACCCCCCTGAATGCTCGTTTTTTTATTCACTCAACTCTTATTCCCGTGGTGGTGGCGTACTACTTAGAAACTTACACTTTGAAAGTGCCCAGAAAGCACCAAATAGCATCTCAAAACTGTAAAATTTTCTAGGGGGAGTGGACCACTCCTCACACCCCCACAAAACAATTGGAAAAGTGTCTTACGGGCCTGAATGCCATCTATTTAATAAATGATTTGCTTTTTATTTCCAGATCTATATATTTAATAAAAACCCAGTATTTCATGAGGTAAGTGAAGCATTTGCATTTCAACTTTAGTCTTACAAATAATATGGACCCTCCCCCTAACTACCCATTTCCAGAGGCAATCAGTCAGAATCTGGGTTAAGTTAGAATAAGGAGGGGGGGTGAAGGGGATAGTTGAGCAACTGTTTGGATTTTCCATAATAAGCGGGAAAACACACCCGAACAGAATATAATGAAAAAAAATATAATTGATTTTGGCAGGGGGGTAAAGTACAAGTGTTATAAAAGAACTTTTATTACTCTTACAATTACACTTTAGGTGTAGGTCAACATGAATAAGAATTGTATTATGTTTGAAAACAATATTGGACACTGGTCCCTAAAGAAAACCATTTTTATTTTAAGCTAAAACTGAAAATGAAGTCCAAATTGTAGTATAATACCATATGGTTAAAATTTTGTGAGGACATATTTTCATGGTGTCCAACTTTTTTGTGACAGCGTTCAGTCGTTGGTGTTTGGCATCTTTAACAAATGGCAGGTGGTGTATGTCAATAACTTGTCTGTTTTAGCTTTGCTCTTTAATTTTAAGTTTCTTGTTATATTCCAGGCTGCCTATGGTTTAATGGTGTTCACCCTTATCTATCTCTCTAGAAGAATTATGAGGTAAGAATGTATGAATTATGACTAAACTGAATTGATTTTCCTTGCAAGCCCATTTCTCTCAATATTGTATAACCATATTTATACTATCCATATTTAGCAAACAATAGTATAATAACATCATTTCGAAGGGCAAAATAGTGAAATATTGGACAGAGGGAAAATTGTTGGCCGTTAATGCATTATTTGCCCGCCACTATGACGTCACAAAATAAATGCCTTTTAAACTAGCTAGCTATAGCACTAATACCCCTAGAACAGGCCCAGCAAGGTGGTAATAATGGGAAATGTTAAATGGAAAAATATGGATAATATAAAAATGTTAATAGCTACCCATCGTGATAGCCGCGTCCCCTTTGTCTTTATCCTTCCAAACGGCAGATAAGAGGGGCTCTGGCATGCCAGAATGATAGCTACCATATCATTTGAGAAATGGGCTCGCAAAAATGTATTTTTAAGCTGTTCTTTATAATGGAGCTCTCTTATAATGGGCTACATCAAGGTAGAATCGCATCGTCATCAATGTACCTTTACAACTTTTTTCAGTATTTGTAACCAAAAAGAAGTCACACTTTGATTATAAACGGCCTGATTCATTGATGAAATAGCGCCTCCTAAGATTAGAGAAATGAAATTGGATTTGAAAAACATGTCTGAAGCATTGAGATCTTACCCAGGAACATGGTCTGCATTATCTTACTGATTTCAAAGAATTGCATGGTTGTACATGTATTTGTTTGTGCATATGTTTTCTAAAAAATAATTTGTATTGCTTTTCAGATTAACCAATGGTAACAAGTCATGGTTAATTTTTGCCAGGCTTGTCATCTATGCAACTGGATTGATTTGTGCTCTGGAACCTTACCACATGCCTATTTATTTTTCAGATTAACCAATGGTAGCAAGTCATGATTAATTTTCGCCAGGCTTGTCATCTATGCAACTGGATTTGTGCTCTTGAACCTTACCACATGCCTATTTATTTTTCAGATTAACCAATGGTAACAAGTCATGGTTATGCTTTGCAAGACTTGTAATCTATGCAACTGGATTTGTTCTCTGGAACCTTACCACATGCCTATTTATTTTTCAGATTAACCAATGGTAGCAAGTCATGGTTATGCTTTGCAAGACTTGTAATCTATGCAACTGGATTTGTTCTCTGGAACCTTACCACATGCCTATTTATTTTTCAGATTAACAAATGGTAGCAAGTCATGGTTATGCTTTGCAAGACTTGTAATCTATGCAACTGGATTTGTTCTCTGGAACCTTACCACATGCCTATTTATTTTTCAGATTAACCAATGGTAGCAAGTCATGGTTATGCTTTGCAAGACTTGTAATCTATGCAACTGGATTTGTGCTCTGGAACCTTACCACATGCCTATTTGTTTTTCAGATTAACCAATGGTAGCAAGTCATGGTTATGCTTTGCTAGTCATGTCATCAATGCAACTGGATTTGTGCTATGGAACATAACCACATGCCTATTTACTTTTCAGATTAACCAATGGTAGCAAGTCATGGTTCTGCTTTGCCAGTCATGTCATCTATTCAACTGGATTTGTGCTATGGAACCTTACCACATGCCTATTTATTTTTCAGATTAACCAATGGTAGCAAGTCATGGTTATGCTTTGCAAGACTTGTCATCTATGCAACTGGATTTATGCTTTAGAACCTAACCACATGCCTATTTATTTTTCAGATTAACCAATGGTAGCAAGTCATGGTTATGCTTTGCTAGTCTTGTCATCTATGCAACTGGATTTATGCTTTAGAACCTAACCACATGCCTATTTATTTTTCAGATTAACCAATGGTAGCAAGTCATGGTTATGCTTCGCAAGTCTTGTCATCTATGCAACTGGATTTATGCTTTAGAACCTAACCACATGCCTATTTATTTTTCAGATTAACCAATGGTAGCAAGTCATGGTTATGCTTCTCCAGTCTTGTCATTTATGCAACCGGATTTGTGCTCTAGAACCTAACCACATGCCTATTTATATTTCAGATTAACCAATGGTAGCAAGTCATGGTTATGCTTCTCCAGTCTTGTCATTTATGCAACCGGATTTGTCCTCTGGAATCTTACCACATGCCTATTTATTTTTCAGATTAACCAATGGTAGCAAGTCATGGTTATGCTTTGCCAGTCATGTCATCTATGCAACTGGATTTGTGCTTTTGAACCTTACCACATGCCTATTTATTTTTCAGATTAACCAATGGTAGCAAATCATGGTTATGCTTCGCTAGTCTTTTCATCTATGCAACTGGATTTGTGCTCTGGAACCTTACCACATGCCTATTTTCTTTTCAAATTAACCAATGGTAGCAAGTCATGATTATGCTTTGCTAGACTTGTCATCTATGCAACTGGATTTATGCCATGGAACCTTACCACATGCCTATTTACTTTTCAGAGTAACCAATGGTAGCAAGTCATGGTTATGCTTCGCTAGTCTTGTCATCTATGCAACTGGATTTGTGCTCTGGAATCTTGACCACATGTTCTGTGATAAAGTGATGTAAGCATTATAGAGATACCTTTAACTAATCTTTTAAAGTAAACTTTCACCTGTGAAAACTCTTCTCGAAATTCAACCTTTTCAAGAAATGTTTAAAACAACCCCAACCCATCACGATCAATAATATTTGAATGTTAAGAAAATATTTTTAATCTTTATTTAATTGTAGAATCAGAATTTTATTGCAATATAATATTTTTGACAAACTTAATTGTCCATATACAAATATGATTTACATCTAATTACACATCATTGCTCTTCATAAGTTTTTATGTTACACATAGGTCAGTACGCAATAGTGTACCACATGGTCTGCGTCCTGTGACGCAGCTACACGCATGGTGGCATCTGTTCGCTGGACTGGGAACTCATACAAGCATCGTCTTCTTGTGAGTTTTGGAAATTTCTCATTTTTTAAAAATATGTGTTTTTCTCGCATTTTTTTAGTTGTTTATTTATTTATTTTTTTCATTAGTGACAGTCCTGATAACCCACAATAAAGGTTTTCAAGAATTCCCCACAAATTTTGTTGTACTATATATATTTTTTATAGTATTGACAACTTTTTGAAATAAAGTTGCTCTTATTGCCATATGAAATAAAAGTTTTAAAGTATTACCTAAGAAAATAAAATGTTCTTGGTTACCGTGTCTCGTAACACCTTTTATTCACAAGGCTGGATTATAGGGTATACTTAGTTGGTCACACTTAATTTTGATCCACGATATAGTTCTCAAGACAATGTACTAATACCTTTGACATACATTAAAGTATAGGTAATAGGATAAATTGCCTACAACTGAGTAAATGTTTTACAGCATCCTGTTTATCAAGAGAAAATAGTGCAATAGCCTTATAATGGTATAACCCCTATAAACCATGTTAATGTATCTTACTTGCAGCACTCACTCCAGATACAGGTGTTTGAAGAGAGACCTACACTTAAAGGTAAAAAGCTTAAATTAACCCAGAATCAAACCAAACCAAATATTGATGTATTTACTCGCATGCTCAGTTGATACAAGTACATCAAGAAATTAGAAAAGGGAACTACAGTAAAAACTGTCTAAGTGGATCACCTTTGATACCAAATGGTTTTCCACATGGGAGGTGTTCCCCTTACAGAAAGTGTTTCATTTAAAATTAAGTCAGTTGGTATTAGGACTCTGAAGTGTCCAACTAACACTGAGGTGCTCCACTTCTAGAGGAGTTCCACTTAAGGGTTTTATTGTGCCAGTCTTAGACAATCATGATCATGTTGAATACATTTTAGAAAAATGTGAAAAAAATAAAGAAAAAGCTTGATTGCAAAAAAGATGAGAGATTACTAAAGTTGCCATGTTATCTTATTCATGTACATGTAGATGCTGAAAATGTTAACTGATTCAGAAGAAAGAATAACTGGCTCTGGGTCTATTGGTCTCGTGAGCAGGGCTTATGTTGCTAATAAATACATTGACCAACCTCAATTGGCAATGATTCTGTCTATGCCCTCTAGAGCTTGTCTAGTCCAGTATTCATGTTATAACACAGACTTATTTTGTGTATTTTGTATTTCTAATAGATGCTGGGAGGATGGTTTCCATTTGTAAGAGCCTCTAGCCATACTAAGGGAGTAATTCGCAGTAATGGTGCACAGCATGAAAATGGTGTACAACAAATGAATGGAGACCAGTATAGTAATGGTGTCAAGCACGACAATGGTTTACAGAACAGTAATGGTGTTACACCCAACAGTAATCCTGGTACCAGTTATACAAGACATGGTACAGCATATAGTACAGCATAAAACAGCATACACAACAGCAATGTGAAGTGGTGTTACCATAGCAACATGTGATATAACAACATGCAACATTGATGTCATAGAAACGTGTGCTTCTAACATATGCTCGTTAAAGGTCATCACAATTTTTGACATCATTGTAACATTTAGTCATTCAGCTGGTGAAGCCATGTATCATCCAGTGATGTCATGGGGATCTGTGATGTTGTTAAGTATTACACATCAGGGAGCATTAACAGAAGTTTGTAAAGTTAAAAATTCCTTGGTGTATTGTTTCTTACCATGAAGTTATTCTTTCCATGGTATTGTTCCCTTGCCATGAAGAAGTCATTGTTTCCATGGTATTGTTCCCTTACCATGAAGAAGTCATTGTTTCCATGGTATTGTTCCCTTACCATGAAGAAGTCATTGTTTCCATGGTATTGTTCCTTACCATGAAGAAGTCATTGTTTCCATGGTATTGTTCCCTTACCATGAAGAAGTCATTGTTTCCATGGTATTGTTCCCTTACCATGAAGAAGTCATTGTTTCCATGGTATTGTTCCCTCACCATGAAGTTATTGTTTCCATGGTTACAACAATATGTTGAGGAATCTCTATAGCTAGGCACATTCTACTAATGTTTATCTTTTTACTAGTCTTGGGATGTTCTTGCCATTTTTCTTAAAAATCAAACTTCCATTAAGGTGACTCGGTCTCTCTCTCTTGATCCTGTTATACCCAAAACATTTAAGTTCATGATGACTTTTAACTCACACTATCAACCTTAAATCGGTAGAGGTAAATTATAAGGTGTGCAAACATATTGATTGTACAAGATACAGGTCACAGGCCCGTAGCTAGAATTTGCCAAGGGGGGGTTCAGTTTTCAAAAATTTCCAGGGGGGGTTCACATTTGACAATTTTGGCCCAAATATGGCTAAAATCACTTGAGAAGTACTAAAGATTGTGAAAAACTGCATGATTTTGAAAGAATTTTTGGCCAGGGGGGGTTCGCCCGAACCCTGCGAACCCCCCCTGGCTACGGGCCTGGGTCATATTGAATTTGATTTATTTTAGCATATTTTAGTTTGAGAGTACTATACTGTATACTGAGTCACTTTAATTCAAATCTCATGTTCAGGTCCGGTACATCATTTCATTCTCCTAGTTTCTTGTGTTTAGTGTGTGTCTGCTTCCTCTACTCTCTGCAGACCCTTGGTTCACTTAAGAATCAGAAAATTTGTAAATTAAAGAGAACATCTAACATACATCATTTTTAGAAAATTTTCTTTGTTTATTATGCAATTATTAACTTTGATATGACATCATTAAGAGTGATAAAGCCAAATATGAGGACTCTGGTTAATTGAAGATCTGCAGAGAAATGGATGTTGTAGATTTGCAATGAACTGAATGCTTGGAGATTTGCATCATTTATATATGACAGTATGACAGTATACCTATGCATGCAGGCTGTTAGTCAGGTTTTCATGTTCTCAGGAAATGTATCAATAGGTGTTAGTTTTAGGAACAAGAATGATTTTATAGAATTGCATGATTCATATTTATTGTGTTTGTTTACACAGATATATGAAAAATTATTAATATTTGTTTCCAGTTGTCAGGTTAAAGTTTTTACAGTAAAAGGTGTCATCCCATTTTGTTCTGACCAACGGAATTACATGTAGGCTCTCTTGTAGGAACACAGAACGAAAATTGAATGTTCATGTTTATGTTCATTTTATTTTTAACTACAGCTGTTATATACATCATTTTAAAGCTGTTTAAGCCTTTTAATCAGATGACACCATTCTTACATATACCTCTGAGTCTTACTCTAGACCATTCCACTTAATTTGCACCCATGGTCTGCTGTATTTTAATAAAAGTGTTTGTATGGGAAATCTCATGAGCAAATGTAAATGAAAGTCCAATTTTGCAACTAATGCCATCAGCAGGCCAAAATGAAATTTCAAATTCGCACCTTATGCCATCAGCAGCCCAAAATGTAAGTTCAAATTTGCAAATAATGCCACCAGTAGCCCAAAATGAAAGTTTAAATTTGCAATTAATGCCATCAGCATTTTAATTGGCCTTAGCACTCAAAGATGGATTAAGTTGCTAATAAATAAATAGCACATGACTGACACTTTTGTCCCTGTACATAGTTGCAGTCTAGATTCAATACATGGGATATAACATCATACTTATAAGAATACAAAGTAAAAATATTTTAGTATTTACACTTGAATTGCTATGAGTTTGATAGCTTTAATTGCTTTCAGTGTTTCTGACTGTTATATTATTATGACCTAACTATAAATGTATTTTATCAAAATGTTGGCAATCTTCTTTTCTTAAGTGAGCAGGTCAATATTTGGAAGTTGTCCCAAAATGTAATAAATTTCATTTCTGGTTTACCTCCTTCCACTCCTTAAAAAATTTAACTCCATATTTTTTATTTTTTGCAATGAGTTGGTAAATCCAAAAGCTCATGAAGCTTCCCTTTTAAGGTGAAATGTATGTAACTAGTAAGGAATATTGACTTATATGTTTAAATCTGCCAATGTTCATGTTTATTACTAGATTAGTATTTATTTGTTGTACTATATTATGTTCAAGAATTTATTCAGAGCTTGAATTTTAGTCTATTACACCTACATGTACTTGTAATATTATCTAAATTCCTTATGCATGAACTTGTAATGCTTCTATACTTGTTAAGTGTTTGTTGATTGAAGTATGCACTTGTAATGTCATCTAAATTCCCAAATGCATGGACATAATGTTTCATCAGTTGCTTATGTATTTACTGATTGAAATATGTACTTGTAATATTTTCTAATTTTCATATGCTTGAACTTGTAATATTTCTGCACTGGCTTAAGTACTTGTAATATTTTCTAATTTTCATATGCTTGAACTTGTAATATTTCTGCACTGGCTTAAGTACTTGTAATATTTTCTAATTTTCATATGCTTGAACTTGTAATATTTCTGCACTGGCTTAAGTACTTGTAATATTTTCTAATTTTCATATGCTTGAACTTGTAATATTTCTGCACTGGCTTAAGTACTTGTAATATTTTCTAATTTTCATATGCTTGAAATTGTAATAGTTTTGCACTGGCTTAAGTACTTGTAATATTTTCTAATTTTCATATGCTTGAACTTGTAATAGTTCTGCACTGGCTTAAGTATCAACGAATTGAAATATATATTTGTATATGTAACTATATAGGATTTGGGGACTACAATGATTTTTTAAATGACAGACATTTATTAGGCGTTACAAATTTACAAATAAGGAATTTTATGATAGAATTTGACATGTACATGTATGTAATTATTTCATGAATCGCTGTATTATTAATGAAGCATTGTATATATATATTGTATGGATTGGTCACTGTGATTGCTAAATGTAATGCAACCACGGGTAGCCATATAGGCGGGCTTTTACATGTTAATCAAAATTAAACTATCTTTATATAGCGTCCCCACGTTACCAAGGCAACGGTTGTGAATTCTTATTTGAGAGAGTAATATTTATCAGTGTACACTAGGAATGCTGAGAGGACTAACATTTGTGAATAATCCACTGGGATTGAAATACCCCCAGTAAGTATAGGGAGGTATGCAGTCTGAAATTACCCTAGACAGCACACCCAGTAACTAATCATTTTGTAAGCCTCTCAATCTGTGATATACAAATATAATGTTTTAAATTTTAATATTTAGTCAAAGAGCTGTATGTTATAGATTTATATTTATTGTTTACCATGAGCGTGCATGTAAAATGTACAATGTGTAACATTAAAAAGTTGTAAGAAAAAGTGCTTTAAAACCAAGACGTGTTCGTTTGCATCTAATCACTCGGAAAAATAAAAAAAAACAGTGAATGTTCATTTGAGACATTGGGGATATATCAGAGTTTCAACCAATTTAAGAATTTATATATAGGTGGTCATTTTTGACTGTAAGAAATAAAGGTCAAAGGGATGCCATTTGTACTTTCTTTAATTGTAGCATTTTAAGTTGATCCAAATGTGTTTGTCTAGAATAAAATAGGCTCATATATAGTACATATGTTATAGAGCCATCTCTTCTCAAATTGACTTTTTGGAGATACTCGCTATGAAACACCATGTGTGTCATTTGTTGAGCTACTGTGTGGGTCGTTTCCAGGAATTTAAACTAGAACTTACTGGTTTGATTGGTGTTTCAAATTGATGGTTAATGATTGGATACTGTTCCTACTACGCCAATAGACTAGATGCCAGTAGAAATAATCTTGATTTACGTCATTAAATATTCAAAATTCAGTCAAAGTGATGTCATATTTGAAATCTGCATGTAAAAGTACATCTAGATATATGGTTTCGAAAATTGTCTATCAACTTTGAAAAGATTTTTTTGAAAATGTCACTTTTTGTTCTAGTTGATTCCCCATAGACCCCATGTTACAAAATCACAAAAAGTGAATTATCTTATCTTGTATTGGACAAATAACAGTTTCTTTTACTGGACATATTTTAATTTGCATAACTATTAGATACATAAGGGTTATATGAAAATTGAACCACGCAAATAGATGTAATTTAAGTTAAAGGGAACTTTCTACTATACCCGCCATGCTATCTGACCCGAGCGAGCCATAAGGTGGTGATCTGGTAACTACATACCTACTCGCATCTGCGTTAATAATTTTAAAAAATGCTTGCGGTCAATAGTTCCATCCAACTGTATACGTTTATCGTCGTATATATATACCGTTTTGTCAGTTCATTGAACTTATACTGATCATGAAAACTTTGAAATAATCAACTTGTTTATGTAATGACTCACTTTAAAGGATCATGACTCACTTTAAAGGATCGTGTTTATAATACACTACAACTACTAGGGCTTCTAGGGCACGGAGACAAGCATTTACTTATAATGTGCATAATCTACACTAGTTCAACGCCGTTAAACTCAATAACGGCGTTCTTTATTATTAGGAATTTTCTTGGAGCCGTTGACATGTCAGATAAGAAACGAGGCCCAGGCTAGGTCTAATGTTGTTGGACTAAATATACACGTGCAGATGACAGTGCATTCACAGTCTCTAGTTGATGGAGCTTTATTGATTTTAGTAAATATAATAGTTCGACATGACCCTTTAAAGTATACGTATAAGTTGTACTTTCACTTAGGTATGATAGACTATGATTGATTATAAGTGGGGAGTGAAATTCTCAATTACGCAATTAAAAGGATATTAACAGTTAAGAGTATAAAACGACGTACCCTACATTAATCTCTTAATTTAAATTTAAAAGTGGCAACATTGGATTTTCAGTCCTAAAATCTTATCTGTAAAGTATTGTATATATGTTTTTTTTGGCGAATCAGTCGACAAATCTTTTTCAATTTTTTTAGTTATGATTCTTTGTATTGAACTGATATGTTTTTGGGCATTCTTGGAAAGTGTTAAGGTGGCCATTTGGATTTCCGTCCTAAAATCTTGTCTGTCGAGGCTTGTGTTCAGGTTTCTAGCCTAACATTTTGAGAGTTTCACCTGAAAGGAGGAGGGAAGTTAGCGCAACAGATTTTGGACAGTCATATTTTTGATTTTGGCCATTTTCTGGGGATTTAAACAGTTGCATATGTTAGGCGAATTCATTACCTCCAGGAAAATCACTTCTAGAGATGATAAAATAATTTCGACTTTGAGACAGGGTAGATGCAAACAACCCACCCACATGTTTTTCCTGAAATGTTTTCCTGATTTTCAACCCCTTCCATCCTTGCTTTTTTAATTTTTCTTGCATCAATACGTTGCGTTTTGACACACAGTTAATCCCTTAAAAGGAATAAATGATTCCATTTAGATAAAGTGGAAAACAATATTTCCCATGTTATTTTCCTATAGGAAAAATCATTGCTTTCAGCTAAGTTTGGTCACCCATAATGTGTATCTTTAAAACCCCTTAAGGAATCACTTATTCCTTTAAAGTGGTTAACTATGTGTCAAAATGCAACATATTGATGCAAGAAAAATTAAAAAAGCAGGGATGGAAGGGGTAGAAAATTAGGAAAACATTTCAAAAAAATCATGTGGGTGGGTTGTTTGCATCTACCCTGTCTCAAAGTCAAAATTATTTTATCATCGGTAGAAGTGATTTTCCTGGAGGTAATGCATTGGCCTAACATATGCAATTGTTTAAATCCTCAGAAAATGGCCAAAATCAAACATATGACTGTCCAAAATCTGTTGCGCTAATTTCCCTCCTCCTTTTCAGAATCGTCAGTAACTATAATAGTTTAGAACTGAAGAGTTTTGGGGCATTCTTATAATAAATGATAAGGCAGCCAACTTGGATTTCCTTCTTAATATCTTGTCTGTCGAGTGTCGAGGCTTGTCTAAATGTTTTCAGCAAAACAATTTCGGGAAAAAGTCATAAGAAAGTTAAAAACTAATTATTTTTTGGGCATTCTAGGTAAATGTTAAGGTGGCCATTTTGTTTTTTTGTTCTTAAACGTGTCTACCGATCATTGTCTACAGGTTCCAGCCAAACCATTTCATGAATTAATTTGTAGTTTTAAGAATGGTTCTACGTATGTATCCTGAATAAACGTTGAGGCAGCGATTTTGAATTTTTTGTCCTAATTAGTGTTTACAAATTTGTAGCCAAATACGGTTTGTGGGAACGGAAATTTTCCTTTCTATGAAACGAAATGAAAATTTAGAACTGATTAGTTTTTAAGCATTCTGGGTAAACACGCCCATTTTGATTTTCCTGTCCTTTTTGTTGGCCAGTCTACATGCTTCCAGCCAAGCTGTTTGAGGTGTTCAGCTGAAATTTTCAGGAATGTTTGTAAGATTTTAGGAATTATGGATATGCTAAGGATTTTGTGTCAAAAATCTTATCCGTCTCGTCTACAGGTTTCAAGGATGCGATAATGTTAACTCTGTGTCTTGTTTTGATTTTCGTTACAAAAGGTTATCGTCCCAATATGTATCAATGTGGTTCGTCTGTCTGTCGAGATATCTCCTAGAACATTTGACATTTGAACCATATTATTATTAATTACAGTATTCGCATGTGTAAAAATAGTTATGAATTACAAATCTATAGAAGGGTCGTGCTTGTCAAAACATAGGGCCTGCCGAGGGAAGCCTTTATTGCCCAAACCGAGGCATGTTCCATGGCATAGTGACATAACCTCTAGATAAAATGTGAAGCAGTCATCTATTCTTGATATAATTAAGTCGAATTGTCAATGTGCAATGATCGCTACTAAGTGAAGTAGGCTAAATGTTGTAATCTAATTGTACTTAATTGCAACCACTTTATCAATAATGTTGCACTCGGGACATCAATCCACAAATATTTTAGATGAAGAAAAATAGATGATATGGTTTTATATTCCCGATTTTTATTTTAAGACTTGATAATCATGACGGCACCGCACGTTCTTTGTGAGAGTTTAATGTATTTCAGTCGTGATTAGAAAAAAGTGAGAAGAAAAACATTTTAAGAGCATATTAAAATGAATAACATTAGTCACATTGTATAAATTATATGCAGGTTAATCAATATTATCATTTACAATACCATGTTTAGAGCAATATCAGGTATATAAACATAAAACAATGTACAGGGTGTCAAAAAACAACGGCACCCCCCCCCCCTCTACAGCAAAAGGTACTTAATGTTACATGGTGTGTCATATCTCATTTTAAAGACAATTTAATTCTGGAGTTACCTGAGAAATTTCAGCTTTATATCATATAATTTTACAGATTTACAGCTGATTCTTAGTAGTTAGTATGACCACCAGTTGCTCCTCAAACATGATGATCAATTATGGTCGCAATAAAGAAATACATATATAACAGCAAGTGAAAATCACATGTAGGATTTGGAATAGGAACTATATCAGGGATGATATTGGGATTAGAGGGATGATATCAGGGATGATATGGATAGTCAACCCGGGTATTTATTCAAAAATGCTCATTTCTCCATATTTTACTTTTTCAATTTTTTTCATTTTTTCACATTCAGCAGAGGAGTTTGGGAATATATTGCTCTTGACTTATATAATGGTTCATTCTGTATATCGTGTTTATACTCGAGTGAGTATATAATATATTCACAAGTGAGCGTAGCGAACGAGTGAATATATTATATTCTCACGAGAGTATAAAATGCACGATATACAGATTGAACCATTATATAATCTTATTATGCCACTCTAAGTTCAATTACAGTTGATTCAAACACAATCATAACAATTATAAAAACCATAAAAATATCCCACAGCCAACTCAGTAATGCCGATGTTGATCTCGATCCATTTATGACGTCACTTGATTCTAGCAAATCATGTGGGAACCATTTATGACGTCACTTGATTCTAGGAAATCATGTGTAACAAACCAAGGGCGTTACAATACCCGGGAATTTATCGGTTCGTGCAGTACTTGTTTGTGATAGCGCGCAGCTCATTCACTGAACGAAACGCTACTTCCCGCTGAAAACACCGGGTATTGATCTTTCCCTTGAACAAACCATACACCTCGTTCTTCGGTCAATATTCATTAGTTCCCAGAATGCACTTCTACAGTGGTATAGGCTTACGCTGGAGTGTATACGGTGGAGTGTATACGATGACGATATACCACTCTCCATTGTATATCGTTGTTATAGACCCATGTTATACAACTGTAATCGGACTTAGAGTGGTATAAAATCGTTATTCACCTGTCGGGATGATATGGGGAATATCCCTCGGATGATATCAATGGCCTGGGAAATATTGTCATCACCCTTGTGATATTTCCCATATCAAATCCCTCCTGGTGAATAACTTCTTTGTATATGACAGCTAGGCCAGACAATTTAAGCTGCTAAACCTCAAATCTAAAGTCCAAACATTTTGGGTATTTAAAATACAATCTATAATTATAGAGTTTATCACCAAGGATATTGTTGGAGTTGAAATATAGTTAATCATTTATCAAAAGTCCAATTTCTTATATATGTATTTTGTTAATGCCAAACTGCATTTGAGCAAACCTCTTTGAAATCGTGTCCATGGTAATAGTAGCCTATAAGCGGCGATGACTCGAGGAAATAAGGCAGGAACGCATATCCTCTAAATTTATAGTCACCGGAATAGTTCCATATCATTTCACCCGAGGCCACAAAGTGAGTTAACTCGATTTTCAAGAAACCCTTGACATCCCTGAAAGACAAAGAACAATACATTTCATATTCAAGTTGGAATTTGCAAAGGTCTTTTGCCAAATATTAACATGATTAAGAAAAGAGAACAACGTTTGATCTATGGTTTTAATGACAAGAAACTTCTTGTCATTAGATTACATTATGAAGATAATATTTCCGACATTTAATTTTCCGAGCCTGGCAAAAATTAGGCAATAGGTAAATTAAATGATTAGGCAACATTACCACTTATACAGTATTATGATGAAAATACTTAGAAGGATTTTTATTATTTAGAAGAATACCAGAGCTTTTATTCACCTTCCATTGGTATCTTTAAAACTATATTCCCCCGTTCCAGTTCCTCGGAAAACCTGCGGGAAATGTTCTGATATCGTCGTTTCTTTTACTAAGCAAATAATTTTGACTTCAGAGGAAGCATCTGGGAAACATGTCTGGCGTTTTGGAAGAACAGCTATATATGGGTGGCCGGGTACCACGGGATTTGCTGAAAAATGTAAACATTATAGTTACATTATTCATATTATTATTTTTTGTAACAAAGTCTATATCTCCTTTATCATTAATTTGTCATTGTCACTGGATCATTCTGTCCCCTCATTTTGATGCGATTTTGCGTCTACAGCATACAGCTCTGCATGTTTCACCATTATCCGTATAATCCATACAAAATGAATATAATTGCACAAAGGCCCCGAGATTCCCACTTTCTAACTTGAAATAAATATGATCTCGGCCTATAATTGCTAAAATTCAAAATAAATGTGAAGTTATTAATATATACTGTTTGACTGTATTAGTAAAAGAAAGACAAGATTAAAATTGTTATTTTGCATAGATGCTTGTTTAAAACTCCAAATTATATTAACATGAGATAATGTACAGTATAATACTCACTGAATGCTCTCCATATTAATACAAGGCATTAACATGACAAAATGTCACCATCTAGTCGAAGCAAGATAAAAAAGACCTTTTTTGACCCTGAGGAGGTCATTAAAGGTCAAATCTATTTTGACCCAACAAGTTGAAAAAAGACCTTTTTGACCTTTTTTCATTGAAGGTCAAAACTTAAATATAAAGCCAGATTTGAACTTCTGAAAACATGTAGATGATTTTGAAAACAATTGAAGTCAGTCTATACAGTATTTGTTAAGTTATTGGAAGTTGTAAGAATTTGTTACAGACGCCGATCGCCAACCGTCAACCACCAACCGCCAACCGCCGACCGCCGTCAAAAAAGAGACCATTACAATATGTCACCACTTTTTGGTGGTGACGTAATACGTACTTGAAAGAATCAAAACCAGATGCCATTTTAAAACTAATAATGGGATAGTCAACGTTAACTCACTGCACGTTTCATTAGCCTCATCGGATCCATCTAGACAATCAACCACCCCATCACAGCCCTGTAAATGGATATTTTGTGAAACTTCAACTGTTTAAAACGTTAGTTGCTCAGGTCTGGTTCAAAGCCAGAATCATATCTATGGGGAGTGACAAAATTCTCCCTTTCGCAGTTCGCTCTTTGAATCAGAACGTTCGCAAATATGTACTGAAAAAGCACTCAAAAAGGACAAAATTTGATTGGTCAATATTTTCCCACTATGCATTTCGCGTAGCTATTTGTGTGATCCAAAAGTTCTAAATCAAACTAATTACGCAATTTTGTTTTTACACCCGCAAACAGCATGTACAACTGACCTATCAATATATTCCTTACAATCCCAAGTATCTCCCAAAAGATCCACGATATGTTATAAATTGGTGACGTTATTCAGGATTCAGAGTGCTTTAAATTCTCCCTGGTCGTTTTAGTTTTCATCGAATTAAACTACTTTATAATTGACGCAATGCTTTGAAAGAACCAACATCAGGCTTATACGACATGGAAACTCTGGAGTATGATAATATATCCGTGAACGCCACAGTTCAACGATATCTCCAACCATACATGATACGGTAACGGTCAAGTTGGTTTTCAAGATGATGCAACTGAACATCTAAGCTCTTAATTATAAACTCTCATGATGTTACCACATCGCCACATATCGGTTACCTTATCATCTGTAAAACCAAAATCCCAGCTACCTTCTACCCTTTGCATTCGTTTGACTTCACTTCTTAAAAGAGAGCTTAGTTTAACTAGACTCTGCATGCAGGGTAGCTACCTTCCCTTAAGCAGTGGGAGTTATCGTTGAACTGATAGTGCCTACGCATGGTATACGAGTATGCCCAAATGGTCATGGTCATACTCCAGAGTTTCCATGTCACATAAGCCTTAGATCTAGTTCAAATATCAAAGCATTATTCCAACTATAAAGCAGTATAATTCAATAAAAAAACTAATAATATTTAAATCAACACTTATTGTATGCCATCTTAAATGCGAAGGTAACTACCGTTACCTACAGTTGATGATGACCAGTGATTCGGTGGTAACAGGTTGACCAAGCCTGCTTAAAGGCCCAGTCATGATTGTATATTTATTTCATATTTATTTATATTTATTTCGTGTAATTGTAGTGAATTGTACGTCCACACCAACGGCGCTTTGATGGCGCTTTAATGCGGCGTGCGAAGCGGCTTTGCACGTCGCCTTAAAGCGCCATCAAAGCGCCATCAAAGCGCCGTTGGTGTGAACGTAGCTTTATGCTCACCAACAGATGATGGATACACTCTCCTGATTCTTTGCAGCGCAAATGACTCTTCTTGGCACACTTATTTACTGGAAATAGAAAAACAAGAAACAAAGATATGACATAAATTCATTTCACGCTTAATACCACCATGTAAATATTAACAGGCAATAATGCAATTCTCTCTAATATTATTAGATAAAGCTTTGATTGAATGAATTATCATTTTTCATTCACAGTATAATGATTTAAACTATCGACTTTGTTGTGTACTATGTTACATCATTGATAACTCTATAATTTGAGGTGTTTCGAAACTATAACTAGGAATAAAGCATTACTTGCGAAATGTCCCAACCTGTTATTTGTTACAGATGCCGAACGCCGAACATCAACCTCTCTCTTTCATGCCCCTCTGGATTCAATAACAGCTTATACATGTAGGATACATGTAGTATATTCTATTTATTCTGATTGCCATCAAGGAGCCTAATTAGTACAATTAAATGATAATTTAATTAGCCTAATTAAAGGGATATGTTTCATAACTTACTTAGACACTTCCCTTAATTAGCTTAATTAGGTTAATCATCTATTGGTCCTTATTGAATTAAGGTGGGACATTCATACAGTATGTGTCCTAAGGAATATTTTATTGTTTTGGCTTAGCTTAATATGTTCAATTGTTATCTACTTTACCCTAAATTTGGGGGTTCAAGGGTGGGTTGTGGGTTGTTTTCAGTGGTCATACTTCTTTGAAGTTCAGTGGAATAGTGAAGTCCGAGTTACCTCGTGACCTTTGTGACTTCGTGTCTTGTGATCTTTGTCCAGGGGATGGATCATTCTTATTTCATTTTTCCTATACTTTCATTTGTATTACTTCCATCAACAAACTGTTTATAATTTCATAAATCCAATTATTGCATAATTATCATATACTGACACTTTAATTCACTACTCAATGGTAGGCTCTTGAGTTGACATTACATCTTAAGCTACGTTCACACCAAAGGCGCTTTGATGGCGCTTTAATGCGACGTGCAAAGCGGCTTTGCACACCGCATTAAAGCGCCATCAAAACGCCGTTTTTGTGAAGTGTGAACCTAGCTTTAGTATTATATTTGTATCTTATCTGTTGTAGTTACCTTGAGGATAAATAAGATCTGTCATCCGTTCGACATCTCCCTTGGTACTCTTCAGACGATCAAGTTTCAGTGCATTGTCCTTAGTTATCTTCTGGAACCGTTCCTCGAGGCTGAAATTGAACACAGATTAAAGCTAAGTTCACACCAACAGCACTTTGATGACGCTTTAATGCTGCGTTCAAAGCGGCATCAAAGCGTCGTTGGTGTAAACTTAGCTTTAAGAATCGCCCAAAAATTAAACTATCCTCCATCATTTCCATTAAGTTTTCTTATATCCAAATATCTGAAGCTAACACCCCAGTCACATTTGTCGCACGGCGCCCTCAAGTCGACCTCAGATCAATTAAATCAGTGAATTTCTGTGGCGAGCGTAGAAAAACTACGCTCGCCTTGTGGCCTCCGTACGGCGAATGCAGATTTTTACAGGCCGCAGGGAAGGCGTAGAAATTATAACTCGAAGTTATGATATTTGTTCACTTCTGAGGTCCCCATAGAAATCAACTGGCTCTACAAGATTGAATCATTATTTGTCAATGTTTCACGATCACTTTTCATTTGATATTACATCCTAGCACTATGAATAACATTTATAAATTGTCTTGATGTAAATAAAATGAAAAAAAGTATTATTTATCAACACAAATTTAAAATTCACCGTGCAGCTGCCGTGGGAAATGTGTGACTGCAAAAGTATGAGAGCGCAGAAATTCCACGGCGAGCGTAGAAATGTTACTGGCCGCAGAAATGATAGACCGCAAGGTCGCCGTAGGAAATGTGACTGGGGTGTTAGTTCCCACCAACGGCGGTTTGATGGCGCTTTAATGCGGCGTGCAAAGCGCCGTTGGCGTGAACTTAACTTCACAAATATTTCAATAGAATAATAGAATTTCTTTAATCATTTAAAGCTTAGTTCACACCAACGGCGCTTTGACGGCGCTTTAGTGCGGCGTGCAACGCGGCTTCGACGGCCCTCTAAAGCGCCATAAAAAGCGCCGTTGGTGTGATTGAACTTAGCTTAATAATTTCAAATCCTTCAAAAAATGTCGTTAACGAGTCAAGCGTTGGTAAATTATGTTATTTAGAGAACAAATATTTCTAGAATTGTTTTTAAAATTAAGAATACTTTCTTTTTTCTTTTCATCACCCAGTGTTCATGTTGTTTCTCCCAAAGCTACCATACTTATAAGTACTAAATCAATTACCCAGCTATTATTTCTTGTTGGGATTTAAGTCTTGAGTTGATGATCTCTGGTTTTATTGTTGTGGTAGCTGCATCCAGCTTGCAGTCACACGATGCCCTCACTTGCCCCGTATTGCAGATACACAGCACTAGCAGTATAAATCTTGCAGCCATCATGGTTATTAATGATACAGAGTAGTTCATTGACTTTATATATTTTGTTTGCATAATAAGGTTCAGAGTCCAAAGCAATGATAGTGTCTGTGCTTTTTGATGTCACTAAATGTACTTTTAGGAGAGATATAGAGAAGCTGTTTGTCCGTCCACACAATCGTTCATCCGTCTGATAGTGTGCCGGGACGATACTTCAAATAATGGTCCCCAGCTCTGGTTTGAATTCCATAGGCTGATAGCTTATGGGAATGGAATCTTTGCTCGAGAACTTTCAATTTGGTCACTAGTATTCAAAATAATTTCCATTTTACTAAAACATGTAATATGAGGTTATATAATGGTTGATTCAGTATATCGTGTTTATACTCAAGTGAGTATATGATATATTCACGAGTGACTGAAGGGAACGAGTGAATATATCATATACTCACGAGAGTATAACGATATACAGAATCAACCATTATATGATCTTATTATCCCACCCTTATCTTTAATCAATAAAAGGTTAATCTAAATTCAGCAGTTGTATATCAAGTCGAAGAGTTGTATACGCTGCCCAGGAGTTGTATACGCTATCCAGGAGTTGTATATCGTTCTCAAGAGTTGTATACGATGAGTGTTGGTTTCATATTGCAGTTATACAGTGCCATTATACAATCATATAAAGCACTTAGGGTGGGATAATCGTTGATAGCTGTTTGGCCGATTTGATTTGTATTTTATATAGACTGATGCCTAATGGGCATATGACCATTTCCAGGAAGGAATTTCCAATATGACGCCCAATTCTATATGGCTGCCATTTCTCTTAAAAGGATTTTTTTAATTTTGTAAGGTTTGCAATCTCTTAATAAATAGCTGCTTAAACTATAGTAGCAGCGATTCTGCACGAAAACTTGAAGATTTTTTTTCTGTCAATGCATTTTTCATGATATATTCAAAATTGGGTTATATACAACAAAATATTTTTGCTCAAAAATACACAACTCCCACTTAGTTAGGTCTATCACTAAATATTCAAAGTTAATGATTTGATAAAATATTATGTTGAGATTTGCTAGTTCATGGTTTCGTTGTTATCTAGTTTGATTTAATTTCTCATTATCTGTCCAGTCCTTTATACCAAATTAATCTAGCATTAATCTAAATCAAGTCTGATAATATTTGAATACGTCGTAAGACCGGAGGTTTACGACGTGATACAAGTATTTTCGGCGGGAGATTTGTAAGTACTCATTTATTTCGACGTTTTGACAGAATTATGGTTCTTTCCCTTTCGTAGAAACATTGACCATGCCATGCGGATATACCTCTTATATCACTGCGTCTTAACATGTCGTCTGGACACGGTCTAGTTTTTAATATAGGGACCCTGCCAACCGGAACGGCATTCGCACATGTCATGGCAACTTTCAGCCTTAAATGTTGTTTCGCAAGTCTTGACGACGACCACTATCCTTCGTTAAAGGTCCATGTGCAGTATGGCAAGTGATTTTAGACAGTCATATCTTTCACCATGAGTACTTCCTGGGAATAAATACAGTGGTTTTTATTTAAACAATGTTTTGTTTCAAGTAAAGTACCCATGATGATAAATATATCAATCGATCATTTCGAAAAATTATAGGGACCCCATGTCAACATTTTATCAAAATGTTGAACCTATTTACTAAAAGAGGATCTCCCTTTTCAGCTGATTTTTATTGCATGAAAATATTATTCAAAAAGGGGCCTACAACTTCTTCAAAAGAGAATGGTATTGAGTCTAGTTTTAAAAGTCTAGACCAAAATTGTGATGAAAACAATGGATAGCACGAGTTTTCCCTATGGGAAAATAACATGGTATATGTGCTTTTTAACTTTAGCGCATTTCAATACCAATCCCCTTTTCAGAAGTTGTAAATATAGTGTAGAAGAAACTTTCGGTATGGTTAAATCGAGAAAAACAAGTTCCTATTTTTAGATAATAAGCCAAACATTTTCTAAAAAGTGCCCAGATGGGGTCTTAAATCATAATTTTTCAGAGAGTTGGATTGATATTTTACTATCACTGTAACTTCACTTGAAAGAAAACATATTGTTTTTATAAAAACCACTGTACATGTATTTATGGCCAGAAAGTACTCATGGTGAAAGATATGACCGTCTAAAATCACTTGCCATATTGCACATGGACCTTTTGAATGTTTAACCATGTTAGTTAACTTCCTTTGTTACCAGGCAACCCATTAATTGTGTAAAAACCCTCTCCTTTCATCTCTCAAATTGGTAGCGAGACCCATAGGAGAGCTATTTTTATGAGAAGTGAGTTCAGGGCAAACACCATCACTCTCCCTGGATGGAAGAACAAGTGCACAGAAGATAGCATTTAATATAGTACTATATAAGAGGCATAGTAATTTATTCTTGATAATAATCACGGGTTTTAAATGCCAACACCTGTAATGGACAGGTAATATACAGGTATAATTCAGGTGAAAACGGGGTGAAAACAAGGGTTTGGCTCAATCGCTTTGTTTATCCCATTTGGTGATGCATTCCAGGGGCGGATCTGGGAACCAACAAGGGAGGAGCGCCAATTTCCAATTTCAGGCCAAATAAAAAACTGCTCAGAAATTACCAAATAGGCCCACTTTTTGGGCCTTAAGGCCTTTTTTGGCCCAATTTTTTTTTTCTGGGCCCACCCAAGGGGGGAAAATGACATAACATGGTCATACATAAAATTAACAAATTAGATGATACTTCTTCAAATGCCATAGTTTATAAAGAAATGGAACTACCGAGGAAGCAAAATTCGCCACAATACATTATCCAAGAATTGCATGCATAACGCACACCAAAATGATCGTTGGACAGTATCCGATTCACAGTTGTTGGATTGTCCCAGCCTATAGCTTGTGTTGAGCGGATCGAGCCGATCCGTAATTTTGAACTGGGTACAACTTGGCTATATAGCAACTCCCTCATTGTGTTTACAACCATTGCTGTCTGAAAACTATGACTTGATAAATAGAAACCTGTTTGCGAAGCAAAAAAACGCAAGGGTTTATTGAAGAGGAGTGTATGGTAGAAATTAATGAACCGACACGGCGTTTGAAATATTTGTAAGTTTTGTCGCATAAAAAGCGTATACTATTCTATTTTTTCATCATTTTAATCGTATGATTTTTGTAATTTAGAGGCGGCTCCGCAAGATATACGGCGTAATTAGAAAAGTCAATAACTATGAGGTTTGAAGGAAAAGCCGTGATTGTAACTGGCTCGAGCGCAGGCATAGGGAAAGCCACGGCTATACTGTTTGCGAAAGAAGGGGGAAATGTTCTAGTATGTGGACGTGACTTAGAGAAAATCAACAAAACTGTCGAAGAATGTAAAGCAGTCGGAAGAAAAGACGCGAAGTTTCCGTTCATTTAAGGAGACATCGCAAATGACGACATCATTAAGAAGATTAAGGGCAAAGCCGTTGAAACATTCGGTAAAATCGACGTTCTCGTCAACAATGCAGGAATCCTGGCTTTTCATGATTTAGAAACGGTTTCCATGGACGTGTTTGATGAGAAGGTAAAGATCTTATTACGTGCTCCAATCTACCTTTCGCAACTATGTTTCCCAGAGCTCGTCAAGACCCAGGGAAATATCGTTAACATTTCAAGCATGTACGGATTCAAACCTGCCAGCATGGCCCCGGTTTACAATATCATGAAATCCGCCATGAATATGTTTACCCAAATGTGCCGCCCTTGAGTTCGCCGCTAAAGGCGTCCGCGTCAACTCCTTAAACCCTGGACATCTTGAGACTGATTTAATGAAGAGGGTTGGTCTTAGCCAAAACGAGGTTACGAAAATATATTCAGATATTGCGAACACCGTACCTATTAAGAAGACTGGAAGCAGTGAGGACTGTGCGATAGTTGCCGTGTTTTTGGCGTCAGACGATGCACGTGTATGATGAATGGGTCGATGGTGGTACAAGACGGTGGAAATCTCTTGATCGGGCTAGACAGGGGAACAGTCGGTTCAGACAACGCTGCTCACGACCAGCAACATTTAGGCTAGAAGGAGCCAATTTGAAAAATATATCTCTCGTCTATTCGTTCATAACTGTTAACCAAATATCCCGAATGGACTGGATAGGGGGCGGTTGAAAATCCCGCTAACGCAAGTACCTCTCGTTTAGAATTATCTAGATACTATCATACTAAAACTGGTAAAACCAATTCTGATTTATTAGAGATTGCAGTGGATCCTACAATGGTTAAACCGATAACCAGAACATGACATTTTATATGATTCATAAAACGAATGTTTTTGCTATATAGTTTTAGAGGGAATCTAAGCGGTATATAATTTTATAAACTAGAAGTGATACTAACATAAATAAGTTTGTTGGCTAATTTGAATGCAATTAAAACAATATGCAAGCATTTTCGAAAAAACATGTAACGATTGTATTAAAAATATTCGGTGAATAAAATACAACTCCTGTAAATACTTTCTGTTATCTTTTAAGAGGCATTGTCGGTTAGAGGGGGCAATTTTTCAACGTTTCGTATATCATGTTCCTGTTGATGATTTTATTTGGGAATTTCAAACTTGATAAAGTGACATATTTTTGAAAGTTCAGTGAATTTTCTTCACGAAACGTTTAAAAATAACAGTTGCAAAACGAAAATTGTTAGCCTTTGTTTATTATATGTTGTTCTACCGTGAAAGCATAATGGTGCTCCCTCATCTACGTGACGACTAGCTAAATGCGGGGAATTCCGAAGCAGGGTGACACGGATAAGACGAAAACACAATCGCCACTTCAATAACATTTCCCTGTTTATTTTGTTTGAAATGATCATTATTTACATATCACGTAGCTAATGACGCGAACGGATTGCAATGATATAGAGTAAAATAATCCCATAACGATGCAGAAAAGTGTACCTTGGTCTGAGAAAACCCACCCCGTTTATTCAATGCATAGGCTAAGGTCGATATAAATAATTCTTAAATAAAGATGGCATGATTTTGGATTCTGATGGTACTGACATCTTTATACTGGACAAGAATCTATGTTCAATGGTGTACTAAGCAGTCA